GAGACAGAATCAGTGGTAACTTTATGCTGTAGATGTAATTCTGCTGTGAAACTACATTTAAAGAACCAATAATATGCATAATTTGTTGCCAAAGCCCATGGAATCATGTACTCTGGACTACAGTAAATTTCAATCATGCAATTAAAATATATTTTCTAAATTTGCTGATTTCTTTCCACTAAATACTTATGGTAGATTTGACTAACGTGAACATACTCTGCTTTATCAATCAATCAAATTTTATTTATAAAGCGCTTTTCATACAAGAAATGTAACACAAAGTGCTTTACAGTTTAGTTAAAAACAATCCAACATGCCCAGCCCTAAACCCTCCTCCCCACAGACCCACCCACGAGCTCCTGATTCAGCCACAAAATAAGATTAACATCGTTTTTTTGTTCCACAGTGAAGAAATGTCAGTGTTGCATCACAAGTTAAAGAACGGAGAGTACACAAGATAAGTATAACACAACTCCAAAATACATCACCATGGCATCCTCTAATACGCTTTCAAGAAGAAACTATACGGGTCATTAACAATGATAACAATGGTTTTTTCGTTATTTCATGTTTTATATCCATCCATCCTTTTTCTTCCCCTTAATCCATTTCTGGGTCGGGGGGGCGGCAGTCAGAGCTGCACCCAGTACACAGAGCACCAGCCCCTCACTGATCCTCCTGCAGGTGGTGAGTCCACAGGAGCTGAGATCTTTTCAGTTGGGGCTTTGGGCAAAGTAGGGTTAAGTGTCTTGCCCAAGGACACAACGACAGCAGTCATCAGTGGGAGTCCTGAAGTAGGTCTTACGGTGGGCTTGAACCCACAACCTTCAGGCCCAAAGGCCAATGCTCTACCAACTGAGCTACTGTCGCCCCCTCATATATTCATGTTTTATATGATAAATAATATCCTAATAAGAAAATATGAGGTGAAACAAGTAAGTTTTAAGGGGCAAAGACAGCCCAGCAATTATAAATAATATAAATTCACCTGATAAAGTTCCAAACTAATTTATGGACAAAACATTTAAGACGTCTCTGAGCATAATATAATAGGGTGACTACATAATCATGCAGGACGAGCTTTAAGACATAGTTACACGTTTATGCCACGAGATCATTAGCATGGATGGATCTAAACACAACTACAGGTCTATTTTTGACGAGGGAATAAGGTAACATGGTTATAAGCTGAAAAAGGTTATTCTGCAATGTCTCCTTTAAAATCCATAAAAAAAGCTTGATTGCTCCTTTATAAAGCGCTGCACCATCTGGCACCTCTGTATTTCTGGTTTGATTGTGCATGAAGCTGATCCTGGTCTGGTCCCAGAGGAAAACTGAAAGTATGAGAATCCAATTTTTCTCACATTAAACGTTGCTGAACTATAGTTTTGAGAACTTACACCTTGCATTTTTGTTGCAGTTGTTCAAAAGGCGAAGGATTGTTTTCATAATCTGATTTGGTTTGAAGCAAGGGAGCAAGGTTTTCAATGAACAGTAGACAATCAAAAAAATAAATGAATTCTTAATATTTTGATATATATAAATTATAAGTTTTTTTTTTACTAAAATGAATCTGAATCTGAAAAGTAAAACATCCCTGTATCATGGAATCAGTGAATAGACCCTGGACAAAGTCAAGTCCAGTGAGATTGTTGTTGTATTTTCTTTGGACTTCTTGCGGTCTGGACAGTGACGTACTCTGCCCGCCGGAGGACGAGGGTGGAATTTGAGTCGAGGGAGAGAGGAGGGGGTGACACTCAAAAGATTAAATACTTCAGGTCTGGGACAGTTTCCAGGCAACAAGTCCATACCACATGATCCAAGACCCACTGAGACAATCACACCAGTGACCATCTGGGTTTTCTGACAGCTGTACGCAGCTTTTTGAGACAGAAAAGTAGAAACAGTGCTACATATGGGAGAGAAAAGTTTGGTATCCCAGCATTAAGGGAAGTTCCTCATATATACATTACATATATTCCAATACTACATACTGGAATTGTGTGCAGACTGAACCTTAGTGAGAGAACTCTGAATGCTCAGAGCATTAACTAGACATGATCCTGTCCTGTCACATGTTAAGAATGAGGAAATGTCAATGCATTAGGTTCTCATGTAATAATTTGAATATCATTTCATTTCATGCAAAATTATAGACGTTTCACACTTGGAATGAGAATAAATAAATTACCTCTTTACCTTAAAATCGGTTTTGAATATGATTTCAGACTTGAAATCACATTATTATTGACTTTACAGTAGGATATTACCCAAAGAAAATGTGCGTTTGGACAGTCAGGGCGGTTTGGACATGGAGGAAAGGAAATATTGAAAAAATAATAAAAACGAGAACAAGTCTACACAGTGACCCAGAAAAGTGTATTGCTGATCATCTATCACAATTATTTCAGGTAATTTAGTGGATGCACACTTGGATGTTGGGTTCATAGTAGTTAAAAAAAAAAAAAAAAGTGCTACAATCATGCTTAATACAAAATGAAAATGCTTTATAACGCGAGTTTAAAGTTGGAGAAAGACAGGCCCAGACTCACCTGTGTTTTGGAGACTTCAGATAAGCAGCATCATCTGTAGCAGTCCCGGAAGTATTGCGTGTTGGTTATATCTTGTGTAGCGTCAAGGTTCGTTGTGGGAATCTTTAGTCACTCAGGATGAAAGATGGATTCACAGTTTTCTGTCGCGGCTCTTTTGAGAGGAGTGGACTTGACATGAGGGTCTGGTTACTGGAAACAGCGCCCTCTGGTGTACGCACATGATAACACTCCACGTGGATCAGAGAAATTTGTACGAGCATCAAAGTTTATTCTGTGTCCTTGCATCAAAGTACATCTGCGATAGGTTGGTGCCCTACGAACCAATGTAGACTCTGAGGAGCACAGGGGCTGGCCTCCTGCTGGTGCAGAGAGTCAGGACTAAACCAGAGTAGGCAGCATTTCAGATTTATGCAGTTAAAGTCCAAAAGTCTTCCTGACAATGCCCAAATCTATGTGATCATAATGTCCAGCATTATTCTATGAAACTCTTCATATAATTAACTTAGAACTGCTAAAAAATATGTTAAGGGAATCTGGAAACTGCCACCTAATGAACAAAACTTATTCCACTATTACTTATTATCTAATGACAGTAAGCAGCTCTAAAAATGACATCTCAGTGTGGAGTTATTCTTCTGAACAATTTAGTTGATGAATTAAAAACATGCTTAAAAATAAAGCTCTGAAGTAGTACATGGAGGACAGAGTGACGCCCTGAAACAAGAAAGCAATGGGGGGGGGGGGGGGGGGGGGGGGTTCAGGTTCAGAGCGTTTGGGCCTGTGTCTTGTCTGAGAGAATTAGTATATAGCTCTGTTTGTATTGTATTGAATGGGGTCTTGGAGAGGGAGTTGGTGTAAAATAAGCAACTTCTACAACAACTCCCTTTTAAAACCTTGTATTGTGTCAGTAGTACCTGTTGAAGCAAAAAAAATAGTTCAGTTTTGAAAAAAGTAAAATCCACCTCTATAATATTTTCAGTTTTGACTATACATCCATCCATCCCTCTTCTTCCCTTATCCCATTTCTGGGTCGGGGGGTGGTTGTCAGAGCTATACCCAGTAAACAGAGCACCAGCCCCTCACTGATCCTCCTGCAGGTGGTGAGTCCACAGGATCCTTAACCTTTCAGCGGGAGCTTCAGGTAAAGTGGGGTTAGTGTCTTGCCCAAGGACACAACGAATGCAGTCATCAGTGGGAGTCGTGAAGTAGGTCTCGTGGTGAGCTCGAACGCGCGACCTTCAGGCCCAAAGGCCAATGCTCTACCAACTGAGCCACTGTCGCCCCTCAGTTTTGACTGTTTGAAAATTAAGTAATTGAAACCTGTATAGGCACTATTTTAACTGAACTATCACCCAATTAGTTGACTCATTTTACTTTATACAGGCCTAAACATAATTACAGTAAGATTCATTCAAAAAGTAATATGTTCACTAGATACATATATTAATCCTTTCTCCATCTAATTTTTCTTTTGTGATAGTAAGACACTCTTTTAAAACAAATATTGAGAGCTTACCTCTTCACCTTTTAACCATAAAAGTTCTTGCTAATAAAACATGGTTCCTTTATTGCTTAAAGAATACATTTCTGTTGCCAAGTGAAGGTCTTCCACAACTAGAGTCACTCTACACTGACCACAGTAACAATGCCACTTTCTGTTACAGCATCGGAGAAGAGAAACGGGGCTGACACACCGAAAGGAAACCAACGCATTTTACAAAGTGAGGAATTAACGCTTGAATTATCGCGGTTAACACTGTCCTGAAGTCAAAAAAATCGTCCAGTCTTTGGTACCATCTGAAAAATGTGATCCTGAAATTCAATACTGCGAGAGGTTTCTATAAGCAAAAGAAAAGCACGACGCGGAAATAAATCGATAGAGATTGAATGGAAGAGTCACTTGTTTCACGACTTAACAGAACGATTCGGAGTCCTCAAAGGCTGAGGAAAAAAACTAAAGTGTTAAAGCAAATTGTACAAGAAAACACAAAATTTGAATGGTGTCTGCCCTTTGTCTAACGAGCATTGTCCTACATCCAATACATAAGGATTAGAGTCACTTTCACTTTTACTCACTCACCAATCCTTGACCTCGTGCACCAATACAACCAAATCAAAAAGTAGAAGAGCATGTGTTCCAACGCAAAAAAAATCTTTTAGAAGGGTCTCTTTGGAAGTCCCCTGCAATAATATTACCAATTTGAGTTCAGCCCATTGTGTTTTTGTATTAACATCTCGTCACCGTTGAGTCCAAATCACAACCACAAATCAACACTTTACAAAAAAGCAAGACGTTTTTTTCTTAACAACGACTTGTTGCCACGGCGACTCGCATGGGTCCGGTCAAAGTCTCCCATGATTGAGTTTGTCCCATCTGCGGCGTTCGGCAGCTTGCGTTCTGAGTGTGCGGGCCGAACCCAGAGTTTGAAATAGTGCAGTTCGGGGAAATCACATGTCGTCATCGTCGTCTTCGTCCTGGGAGGAGCCGGCCTGTTGAGCGGCGCTGGCGGAGGCTGCGGCCATTTGCGCCTGCGACGAGAGGAACATTCTGCAGTTAGCGTGATCAAAAACTGTCAGCATTAAACCCCCTATTGTATGCCAGGAGTGGGAATTGGCAAACATGTGATGATTCTATAGTATTGTGATATTTGGGCCACATTTCAATACTATTGCAATTCATGTCCCTCGTGTACTTCAAGGGCATTACAATAAATAAGGAAAAGAAGACAATAATGCTACATTTTTTTTGATCTGCACATAAACTGAAGGGAAAAAACTATATCCTTTAACATTTAGGACACAGGTAGGGGTGGGCAATATGGGCAAAAATAAATGTTGATATTTTTTCCCAACTCCCAATAAGGATGTCACAATATTTTTAAAATCAATAATTTTTACACAAAAGGATATGCAATGTTTTGCTTGCCAGGGCATCTATAGATAGTGAAGATTAACACATCTTTGCAAAACATGCACAAACATGGTGTACTGTGGTGGCATACAGTGCTCCATGATCATATGAAACACTGATTCAATAAAAATAATTGTATTCATAAATTCATTAAGACTTAATTGGGACTTTATTTTAAATCATTGAACTTGTGAACTGCTTGAGAATGTTTTTTATAATACTCTTTAATATTTTAAATTATGAAAAACATGTGGTACCTGTTGCGCTGCCTGCTGCATCTGAAGCCACTCCTGCTGAGCCAGCTCAGCCTGCTGCTGTCTGGCCTGGGGACAAAAAAAGAGCTAAGGACTGGTTGTTCTGTGCATCCATTACGTGATCAGAAATATGACACTGCATGCAGTTCAAAGACTTCAAAATCATAAAAGGTAATACAACACAGCTGTCAGTTGAATGTACTGCACGGAGGCAAAGTTAGGAACATGCAAATACTTCTGGCTCTAAGCAAATTAGACATGCCATATTCACCCTTTACAATAATATAATATCATACATTTGTTGTATATGGGTTTTTGATGCCAATGTAATTCTAGCAGGTTCAGTCTTCACTTAAATATCGGCCTGCTTTTCTCACCTTGGCAAACAGTTCCTGCTGCTGCCTAAGAAGCTCCTCTTCCGGGATGCCCAGGTTCTCAAGTCGAGAGCTGGCCTTCCTCCTCTTTAGTGCCACCGTCTTGCACTCCGCCAGCACATCTTTCACCTCTGTGATGTAGGAACCAAAACCCAAGCTTTCAAGAGCTGCAGTTAAAAAGAAAAAGTCTCAATGTCAATGCTTGAAACTTGAAGATTCCTTTTCATTTCAATTCAAATTCAATTAATTGAAAACTGGCATTTAGAAACCACACACAGATTTCTTCCATGCATTTTAATTTCAACACAAATCTATAAATGATATAGAAATTCAGTAGCTGTGAAAATTATAACCACATTAAGGCATGATTTCAATATTGGGCATTGGGTAACGACGAGCCATTTTTGGAACACAATACTATTAGAGGTTGAATAAATGCGTTCTGACAATAAAAATCGTGTGCCCAATTGTTAAAGCTCAATTATTATAAAACACCGCGACTTTTCTGCAACAGGTCACCTCAGATTGTGTGATTGAGACAGACCTGCGCGTAGGACACCGTTACATTTGCCCGGATAAGATGAAAGCACAGGTGACAATCGCCTCACCATTGATGACATGCTCTGGAGAGATAGTTTTCTTGTCGGATTTGTTGCAGATTTCATTCGCCTCCGAAGAAATGAGGTGGATGAACTCCGTGCAGCAGTTCACCACCAGCTCCCGCGCATCGTTGGCCACTCTCACGTTTGGAAGAGTTTCTTTGATCATTTTATTGATAGCTGCCCTGGGGATGGTCAGGTCGTCATCATTGCCCGAGGAAGAAGCCATAGCTGCAGGAATAGTCCACAATATAACGCAATGAAAACGCAAGTGGATCGTTTTTTGCAGGTGGGATTTAGGTGCAGAGAATAAACAAATGAGCCGAGGCGTTCCCTTCTTCCTTGTGCTGGTCTGTGAGGTGCAGGGTTTAGCTAAGCAGCGTAGGCGGATACAATGACAGGCTTCCCTTTATGACATGGAATGTGACAAACCCAAGAGCAAAAAAAGTGAGTAAAAAAGAAGAGAAATGGGGTGGTGTCCTGGCTGTCAAACAAAGCTGAGGTAGCGGTGGTCCCGGCCCGAAGCGCAAGTGAAAGCTCAGCCCGAGAGCATGGCTAAAGTCCACATAACAATGAACCGCTTCTTCGGGCTTGTACCCAAAACACACGAGCCGAATAGACGCCAGATACCACACAGAGACCGGGCACTTATGGTTCCCCGAGCCGGCTGCAAAAGAGGGTCATGTTGAGTCACAAACAACACATTTGACTCATGTAAATGTGCAGAGCGGGCGGCGTTAGCATTAGCTGTTAGCTTAGATCCGAGCGGATGTTGCGTCACCTCAATAGAGATGGTTCGGCGGGGAAAGCGTATACTGCCCTCTAGTGTTTGTATGTATCAAAATCAGAATCATTTTTATTGCCACGTAAGTAACAGGAGGTCACAGACTTGGAAATTGCTTTGGCTCGGTGCAACAGTCAGAGAGCGAGAACAAGATTAAATAAAAAGAATAAAAAACACTTCTAAGGAATTAATTTTAAATACAAATTAAAAAACATCATAGACAGTGTTTTTTCTTTTATCTATATCTCTCACTTTCAGATCATAATTCTACTCTTTAGTAAGTTGTTATACTAAGGATGATATATCTAACTATAGTTCCTCATAATAGTTTGCTTCTATCACTTGTTTTCACATAAAATGTACTTTTTGGTTTCTGTCACATCTTAAGATTCAGATTCATTTATTACTTTGTCTCCTGAGGGAGAAATGTGTCTTGGAGCAGGGGGGTCCGTAGCACCCACAGATACAGCCAAAAAAAAATAAGATCAGTTAAGATCAGTTCTAAGCCCATTAGCCCAACATGTCAAATAGTGACTCATAGGGATCTTTTTTTTTCTTGGTGTGCAAAAGGTAACTAACTTAATGACGACAGCACGTGGTCTGATTTAAATGGGCTCAAAGTAAGTAAGTAATGTTTATTTATACAGCGCATTTTACAGACCAAGGTCACCCAAAGCGCTTTACAATGTTCAGAGTTCAGATATTGTTCCAATCATTCCACACACGGTGATGACGGAAGCGAGTCGTTGAACACACTGGACCATCAGCCCCAATCAACACCATCCATTCACTCTCTCATTTACATTCATACCTATTGTGCATGTTTTTAGTGATAGGGGAAACCGGAGTACCCAGAGGAAACCTACGCAGACACGGGGAGAACATGCAAACTCCACTCAGAAAGGCCCTGTTCCGACCGGGATTCAAACCCAGGACCTTCTTGCTGAGAAGCGAGAGTGCCATCCACTCCACACCGTGCCGCCCGCTCAAAGTTTTGCTTGGTTTTGCCCTGCTACTTTTCCAGCATAAACATAAAGACACATACTAATTGGGACACAAATTTGAATTACAAAATATATAGAACATTTTTGGCTTATTTATAAACAGTTTTTTTTTTTTTACTAAGGGCTTTAATAATTGGGTTATAACTGCGTTGACTTGCCAATGGTTTTCATTCTTACATGGGCTTTAGTTTTGCCTTCATGTCTTGTAATCTTTTGTATCTTACTTAAAAATAAAACCATAAAAATAAAACCAACAACGATAATGATTATCCAAAAAGCACATTATATTTTGTGTATGTATATGTCTATGTTTTCATAAATAAGTAGGTTTCAAACTAATGAATTGTTGTTATTCATAACATGTTGTAGCTGGTAATCCCAGAGGCTTAAATGTTGTGTAATAATAAGAGGCTTAGCAGATCTGGTGTATTAATTCACACTTATAGATTAATGTTAATTTTATACCACTTTGCTTCATTTGTTTATTATCTGCTCAATTCACACGTTTAGATTCTTGGAAGAACATGTAATATCAGACAACTAAGACAACACTAAGATTAACAAACATTTTTCAACTTTTAAACATCACACTCTGAAGACATTTCAAAGAGAGATAGTTTATGAGGCCTTGTCCTTGTCCTTGTCCTTGTCGATGGTGAAGCTCTTGCGGCTCCTCCAGCGCAGCATCTTGAGGAAATTGAGGCTGGCGTTGAAGACCTTGTCGTGTTCAAACACCATCTTGTAGAAGGTGTCGATGGGCAGGTCTCCGTTTGGATCGGCGTATTTCAGAGTGGTCATGGGAGTGTAGAGTGTGTTTGTCTGGTGACGAAACGGGGGGTTGTCCATCGTGATGATCTTCAGAGTGTGCTGCAGCAGGAGGAGCAGAGAGTCAGGTTTATCAGGAGTCCTTTCTGTGGAGTTATTGATTTCTTTAGCCCTAATTGTGTTTGTGTATTTACTGGGGGGTGGGGGATGTTTATATTTTATGTTTTATTCCCAGGCTCGAGGGCGAAATGGGGCCCACAAGAAAATTTTTAGTGGCCCCTGAAATATTTTCAATTATTAATATTAACTTTAAGCCTTAATCGTAATGAGCTACCCAGTCATGTTATGTATCATATCAACAACCAAATCTAATGTATTCTAACATTTAGCCCAACACATCATTAGAAGTTAGCCCTTTCATGCATTAATTATGATTGGCTACTTCAAGATTTTTTCCTCAGTGTTTTCATTACTCTTGAGCATGACAAAAACTCTCTGGTCTTCTTTGACAAGCCCGAATCACCAGAGTGATTGACAATTGGGAGGGCCAATAGTCTTGATGATCCATCCGGAAGTAGACAATCCTCCTACTTTAGCCAAAGAAAACACATTTTCTGCACTGACTAAATGACTGAAATACTACAACGAACTTTACTGCTACTTATCAGCAGGGAACTAAGACTAGACTTGTACATCTTATTTGAGTATGACATGACCAAATATAAATTGGCCCTCCAATTAGTGAACACATGATTCACTGCAATTTCCTAAAAGTAGAAAATCTATACTTGGGGTTTACAACGATTACACCGCTCTTTAAATGTTACTTGATGCCCACATATGTTTTTACCTGCTAAACTTTTCTGGAATAGAATGTACATGAACAGATTTTCCTCCTCCACTGAGCACATTTTCTCTTTCATCGGCCATCGTTTTTGAGAGTTGTTTTTTTTTTTATTTGTATAAATACCAGTTGGTAGCAGACAGTGCATATGGCATGACACTCTAGTTTCCACTACAGTGACTTATGAGCAAATGAGATTTTAAACTCCACTCTAGTGACCACTATACATGAAAAGGTTTAAATAGTTACATATATAACAGTTTAGAACAATGTAAGTGGTCCAGTTTTGGTTAAATCTAAACAATAAACACGGAAAATGATAGTCACATCCCTTGTTTTCTTTTGGGCCTCGATCAGTTTCTATTTTTTTATTCGGCGCCCGACCAAAATGAGTTTTACACCTCTGTTACACAGTGTTCAAAATATACGTCTTGTTTGTGAAGGTTTTTTTTGTTTATTTAGTTGTACCTCTGCTATGTCCTCTGGGGTCTGTCCGAGCGTCTCAAAGATCTGGCTGTAGTTCTTCAGGTAGATGTTTGTGAACATATCCGCTGTCACTTTATCAGCTTTGCTCAGATCCACCTTCATTCCCTCCTCAAATACTTTACGTTCAAACTCTGTGATGACTGGACCCGGCTCAATCAGACTGATGCTGCCACAAAGAAAACATCATTATTATTATTATTTCAATGATAAACAGCTAAATTATGTTGTTCAAGTGAAACCAAAAACGTTCATAAGAGGTTGACAACTCCCTTACTCTCCCTGCTGTGCCGACACAGAGGTCCTATTGACACTTGTGGCATTTGATATTCACATTGTGGAAGCCTTTAGATAAATGGACTCAAAAGTGGTGCCCTTGAGCCAAACTTTGCCCTCCATCCCCTTGGAAAAAAGCACTGGAGGTTTTCTTTAATTATTATTCAAAAAACCTTTACACATGAGAGTACTATATGGATAATAAATGAAATAAATATTAGAAAAATAAATATTAGATACATCTGAAAACACTCAAGATATTATAATGTTTATTGACTTTGTTTTATGGAGTATATTGGTTACATGATTAGACGCTTAGACCCAGCGGATATATATAAAATTGTATGGTATCAATTACATTTATCATGTTGTATATGAAAACTTTGAAGACAGCTTTGGTGATTAGACCCCAGCAGGAATTTAACATGAAGTATGCACGAAGGAATTGAGCTAACGAAGTAATGAGGCAACAGTGGCTCAGTTGGTAGAACATTGGCCTTTAGGCCTGAAGGTCGTGGGTTTGAGCCCACGTAAAGACCACGACTCCCACTGATGACTGCTGTAGTTGTGTCCTTGGGCAAGACACTTAACCCCACTTTGCCTGAAGCGCCAGGCAAAGTGTGCTTGCTGAGGCACTGGAGAGTCTACTCGTGGGAAGAGTGAAGTGAGGGGGTGGGATAGTGACCAGTCAATAGCCTCATGTGAATGCAACAAGTGCCATTCATGAATCCAGAGCACTTTGCAGCAAGCATCTAGCATGAATATATTTCTCATTTATTTTATTTCTGTTCTATTGTGCCATTGTCCTCTCCCTTCTAGGAATCCCATCACTTTTGCACTTTACATCAAACTCTAGCGCCAAAAGGGCTGTGTGTGTCTGTTATTTTGATTAGATTAGTTTAGTATATTTATTTAAAACCTGCATAATATATTTTTTCATATCAACATGGATAAGTATACCAATAGCATAATTACTGCTCACTAGTGGTTCCTTAATTTGATAAAACATAAATAAAGAACAATAAACTCAACCCAAATCAGTGAACTTTAGCGTTAGCAGTGCTGAAGTGCTGAGACTTGTTATGAATCTGGGCTTGCTGCTGACACATGTTTTGTCTGTGGTTTGATAATAACTTTACTGTACACTGTCTGCATTCAAATTCCTAAAAATACCTCCTTCCTCATTCTTGTTTTTTTTTTTTCTCGGTGACTAAGTGTCATTTTAAAAACTTTAAAAAGGAGACGAATGTCAGAAGACCAAACCTGGAGCTATCTTTAAAGACACCATGGAGGCTAGTCTCATGAAAGGCCAAAGGCGAGGAAGAACGAGAAAGGAGTTGTTTTGTAGGATTTTGGTTGCAGCCTGTCTCTCTGTTCTTATTCTTTGTCATTGGTCGGTGTTGGGTAACTTACTTCAGATTGAACCTCAGGGCTTGAACAGCTAAACTTTCACAGAAGCCTTCCACTGCAAACTTAGAAGCTGCGTAGACGTCATTGAAAAGGATTCCTGCGAACACACAATTTAAAAAGATGATTAAGTAGAATTTACAGTGCTACATTTTAAATATTAGTCATGCTTAGGAGATAAAGTTAAAGCACAGATAACAGTAGCATTTTAGTCTATCAGTGTTGAGTGGCACGGGTGGCTGAGTGGCTAGTACTCTCGCTTCTCAGCAAGAAGGTCCAGGGTTTGAATCCTGATCAGAACAGGGTATTTCTGATGGGAGTTTGCATGTTCTCTCTGTGCCTGCGCAGGTTTTCTGTGGGTGCTCCGGTTTCCCCTACCACTAAAAACATGCGCATTAGGTAAATCCTCCAGCTCTGGTCCTGACCAAGCCGAGCATCAACATCTGGAGATAGGTTCCCGGGCACTGTACTACGGCGACCACTGTTTCTGACGTGAGCCTTAGTGGCATCAGGATGGGTCAAATGCAGAGGATGAATTGCCCTACATGAATAAAGTAAATAAACCTTTCCCTTTCCCTTTAACATTACAGCATAACAACCGGCGGCTTATATTAAAGAGCGGCTTATATGGACAAAATTAAGTTTAGCAGGTGCAGTTATACAGGTGTGCTTAACAGTCGAGCAGTACTGAAGGTTAGTAGGAAAAAATGCCGGGCTTGTCTCATACCCACCCCATTTTGGTAAATCTGCTAGAAACTAAATTTAAACAAACAAAAAAACCTTACACCCATCAAAAGGCCAAAAGTGATAATATATAAAACAAATATCAATGAAATGTTTACAGTCTATTACCTTGGATACCCATAACGCTGCTGATGACCACGATGTGCCCCTTCTTCCTCTTCTTCATGTCGGGGAGCACCTCCTGCAGCAGACGCACCAGTCCAAAGAAGTTTGTGTCCATCACGGTCTTCATCTCATCTATGGTCTGGCACTCGATCGGACCGATCAGACCCATCCCTGCATTACTGACTGGGAACACATTACACCTGATCTTAGTGTGTTTATGCAGAAATGCGATTTGCAGAACTTGCATTTAGATAACAAATATTTATTTTGGTGAAATCGGTTGAATAAAAAAAATTGGTAAAATCAGAAATATTTTTAGCCTTATCACCATTTGTGTCATTATATCTACTATTTGAAGCTTGGAGCTGAAATCTACTTCTTTGGGGCATCTCAATTGGTACTAGGCACTTTTTGGTAAAGGTCTATGATAATAATTCAAAAAAACTAGGGGTTAAAAAAAAAAAAAAAGTAAAAATAATATTTGTGTTATGATGTAGTGTCCAATTGAAAATCCCAATAGAATTACATTGCTTTCTACAAGAAGTGAACATTAAAGGGTAAATGAATAACTATGTAGGTGGAAATAAAATCTTAAAAACATACTAAGGAACATTGTAGATTTACTTTTCTATTTTGCACAATTCCTATAATTATTCTGGTCCACAGACTAGCAGATTAACAATAACTGAACACCAATTACCATGTGAACAAACAGGACAAGTGGAGGTACAAGCCTGTTCCCATGTGAGACATATGTTCACAGTGAATCAGACATAAAAAACATTATGCCAGATTAATTAGGCATTTGTCCATTAGACAATACAGTATATTTACATCTAAAAACACATGGAGGTAATGAGGACGAACAAACACTGCCGACCTCACATGTTGTGCATCAGAATGTGCAATATGAAATCAAATGTGTCCACTGTCACTTAACTTAGACACTTAATCCCAGACCCTCATACTGCTAATATGTACAGATGTATACATACAACTATACATTTCTTGCACTACAGAAATTATACTTGCTTCCTTATTATGCTAAAGATAAATACTTATTTCTTGCTTTTTTTCTTGCTGAAGTTAGAGATATTATTTTAGTATAGAGTTATTGTTCATTTATCTTGAGCTGTCTGTTCCTCATTCCCACTGTTCTGTAACGACTGATGCAACAGATATCCCCACAAAGGATCTCTTCATCTTAATCTTTTTAGTAATGGACAGTAATAACCAGTTTCTACTAAAGCACATCTTGACAAACTCAAACTCACTGAGGATGTCAACCTTCCTCTCGGGCAGACTGTCCACACAGGCTTTGATGGATTTCTCGTCACACACGTCCAGTTGTTTGATCTCCAGAGTTCGTCCCAGAGTTTTCCCCGCCGCCTCCACCAGCGCCGCTCCTCTGGACACGTTCCTCATGGTGGCGTACACTGAAGCACAAGATCTCATTCTGTGTCTGCTGTTTGATGGTTTTAGTTCATTTTCACAATATTGTTTTGTTACTAGAGTTGCTTGAATGGTTTTCTCAGACCCAGCACCAGAAAAACTATTAGAATCCTGGAGAAAGTTAGGGAACCATATTTGCCACACTTACAGCCATTGGGTCACACTACAAGGGAAAATATGTGTGCATATTTTCCCATAATTGCAATAATTACATAAAAAGTTGCAATACACCTTTAAGCAAGGAAAAAAACTAGAAATAAATGTATGTATTATGAATAGATCTCCACGACTTAAACATTTATCTCAAGTATTGACAATGTCTGTCATAAAAATAAAAAGCCATAATTTTCCCGTTGTTCTATAGCAACATTAAAGCTGTAGATTTACCCATGAACCTTTTCTTTTCATCTTTGGCGATGCGCACGGCCAGGGACAGACCGATCCCCGAGGAGCAGCCGGTGATCAGGACCACTTTCTGATTCATGGCTTCTGTTTTTAAATGCAATAATACAATGGGATGACTATTGTCCCACAGCTTGAGTAAAGTTTAATGCAGCAGGTGCGGACACATATCTAGGCTCTAATCCTCAGCCCATCCACTCAGCACTCGTCAGATTAGCGGACTTTACCACATGGAGCCTGCCTCACACTGCTTTTAGTAGTAGTATTAGTGATAGTAGTAGAAGTAGGGATGTAGTAAAAATAGTAGTAGTGATAGTAGTAATAATAATAGTAGTAGTAGTAATAGTAGCAGTAGTAATCCTTGTGATTTCATACAGAGGCACAACCTTTTTACTTTTGAAAATGTAGTACATTTCTCTATTTTAAAATAGTCTAAATGTCAGAACAACTGTGTCTCACATCTGTTCTCTGGGCTCATGCTAAAATGTCAGTCTCGGTCAGTGGGGACTGTGATCTAACTTCTCCTTTAAGGGGGTCAAACTGTCAAACTCTCTCCCCACTGGGCTAAAACTACAGACTAACAAGAACATTTTCAGCAGGGAGCAGCTCACCGGTGTTTAAGATTGAGATTTATTTTCACTTAGAAATGTTATTGCAATTCATGGAATGTGATTTATCTGTAAAAGTAAGTAGTAAGTAAGTTTTTATTTATATACCGCCTTTTCACTGCAGATCTGAGTCTCAAAGCGGTTTACAATTGTTAATTTTGGGCATTTATCTCTCACTCCACACAGAGATGGGAGCGGGGCCAGTACAGGAGGCACATGCCAGAACTATTGAACATATTTTTAGTGGTAGGGGAAACCGGAGTACCCGGAGGAAACCTACGCAGACACGGGGAGAACATGCAAACTCCACTCAGAAAGGCCCTGGTCTGACCGGGATTCGAACCCAGGACCTTCTTGCTGAGAGGCGAGAGTGCTATCCACTCAGCCACCGTGCCGCCCTAAGTCTAAAAGTTCCCCGTAGACTAGTGTTTGAAAACTAGCGATAATGTGCTATAACACGTACAGCAATGCATCTGTTCGTCCAATGTTGTTGTTATGTCCATACTGATTAAACTGATAGATATTAATGTTTTCTTCCAAGTAACATTCACTTCCAAAGCAGCAATAGTTTATTAATGACAAGAATGAATTTATGAGACCGAGACCACGGATGAGTCAAAGTTTTATTGTTGTGTAGAAGCTGAACCAGAAGAGATTTGGCAAAGCATTTTGGGTCGTCCAACAAGTTGATTTAATATATTGCATTAATAGACCTTTTACTGTATAATAAAGATATATGGTTTTTCAACGTTCAAAAATAGAAGTCCACAAATGTATGGTTGTCGTTCAATAATTTCACAACAGACTGTAAAATAAAAGGGATAATTGTGTTGACATTCTTTACAATGGATGTTTATTACAATTTCTTAAGCTGGATGTGCGCTCATCTTCTCATTACAACATATATATTTTAAGTGTTACAACTATCCATTTCCATCTACATTCTTTACAGAAATGCCTGCCACGGAGTTTCATGCTTAGATTTAATCAGTCATACTAAAAATTCTACAAGAGAAAAAAGGCTTGGCTGGTGTGTGTTACTTTTCATTGCAAAAAAATTAAAAATAAAAACACATTTTGCTTGATAAAAGTGAAAAAGATTTTGTACTGTTTTGCAAATTAAGTTACAGCAACCTGAAGTGAGACATTGCTCATAATTTTTTTTATCTTTTAAGAGGTTTTATGCTTTCTCTACTGGTAAATAAAATGACTAATATCAAGCAATTTGTGTTTGTCTTATAATTTTTTTTTTTTTTTTGCAGCATTTCATCTTTACTGGAAAATTAGCCAAGGGTCTTTGTCCCAGAATTTGGAGTCCCAGGCCTGGAACCATCCCGTGAAGCAGGACAGCTCATTCCCCTGGTTCATGGTCACTATGGGGATCCTATGCCGTCCAGATGGATCACTGGCAATGTACTGTTGTGCTGGAGAATAAAAATAACAGTTTGTAATGAGAAACCAATCCAGTTCATTTGTGTTTCACATCAATAATCCAAGTCAACCTGAAATGAACTTGGAGATGCATGATGTGTATGTGTTCATATGTGGTGATAATGATTAATAAGTAAGATCTCTTTCCATTGGTTTAGCTATTCTCTTTCAGCAAATATAGTGGCATTGTGTGAAGAGGGAATTTATTGAATACATTGTCAACTCTCAAATGAGCAGAAGGGATGTTATGTTCCATCATCAAAAACAGACCTGGAGACTATTTGAACACAACTATGTAACTCCTGTAATGTCATTTTACCACTATGACACCACACTCAGGACAGTTTTCGGCATTGTAAAGTGGTGCTAATGAATTATGATGTGGTCACAGACAATAATTTTCAAGTTTGGAAAATGCAAAACAAAATAATTCAGGGCATGCTGAAAGCTGTATTAACCCTTGACACATGTTTCATCATATATTTTGCACTTAATTACACATTCTTGAACACAAAATTACAGTAAATAGTTTCATTATATTTTAAATGGACAAAAGTAATATGTGATATATCTGCTTTAAAAGGTGTTTATGCAACTTTTAATGTGAAAAGAAAGTATATTTTTTGCGTATTTGAGCTTGTGGGCATCATAATGTCTTGATTGGCCACTGTAACCGACACAACGTCAAATAGACAAAAAGAAAATAATATATTTTTTTTTTTTACAGTGGAATTTTATGATAAAGAGATAGTTATAACTGTTCTTATTTACTCACCAATCTCCTGCACACCGTTCTTTTCATCCTCATTAGCCGTTTCTCCAATCCAAATATAAATCTAGCATGGACAAAAATAATGCTATTAATTATAATTATTATATTATAAATTTCAAATAACTTTGAAAACGGTATAGATTAATGTTGAACTTCGTACCATGTCCCCCACATCCAGGATCATGATGTCATCCGTCTCCAAGTCCAACTGTGTCAATTCTCCAGGTACTTCCTCCACCTAAACACACAACTCACATAGTTTAGCCAAGAACATGTGTGTGGCAGATTCACTGGAGGCATCAGAAGACACTCACAATCAAATTTCCGGTGGCGTTAGAGCAGGTGAACAAACGCGGGGACCGGCAGGACTGCTGGAGACTCTGAGAGGTTTGGTAGTCTCCCTTTCCTCCCAGTGCAGCCCAGAAAGCATCTACAATCAGAAGCAATCATTTTATTTTTAACATCTAACAGAAAAAATGTCATACTGTAATCGTAATGTGAACAAAGACAATACTTTTGAGTACTTTTGTTTAAGTAATTTACATTATTATTAGTATTATTTTTACATGCACTTATAATTCAAGAAAGAAAGAAAGCTCAAAAGGAGAAGGCAGAAGCAAACTTATAAGTGCCTTTGCCATTAACGGCTGCAAAAAGATTTACATTTTCACGTGACATTCCTGATTTTTATTATTATCATTTTTATCTTGTTGATGCAAAAAAGAAACAGCAAAACTCAATTTATGTTCATCGCAATAATAAATCTTAGTAATAGTAAATAGTTATAGTAAAGTGTTATTGTAGTAGTGTTGGTATTGGTATTTTCTAAGTTCCCAGTTAAAGTGCAATTAATTGATTGTATATCGATATAAATCTAGGAATTGGACCAAAACTCTTATCATTATTATCTTTATGCCTGCTCATCTCCCAATTCATTTCCAAAGAATGTTTTCCTTATTTGTGACTTCATTTGCTTAAAACTATATTTCCATTCCATCAAAAAAATCTACTCGTGTTTTATGGACGTCTCAGTCACCTGGCTCGCTCTTCTCTGCGACCTCAGTGACATTGCCCCCCAGCAAACTGGCCGTGTACTTGGCTGCCTCCATCTCAACCTTTGCTGCTCCCACTCCTTTCCACTGATAGATATTGTTTGGGGTTTTCAACACAAACACATCATTGGTGTTGAGGGAGGAGGCAGTGGGCTGAACCTGCAACAAAACAAATGACGTAAAGTTATGTTTAGTCCTGGCAATAGTCTTGGGTTAGTTCATTTTAGTATTTAGCATCTGGCTATATTGTAACTTTGTTGGCTTTTATACATGGCATAGCATGTTTTCTAGCTTAGTATTTAAAAGGTTTCATACATGTATTATCTTAAATTTCATCCTGCTCCAGGTCGCGGGGCATTGTTCTCAAGCGGTGACATCCAAACTTCCCTATCCACACACTTCCTCCAGCTCATCTGGGGAAATACTGATAAGTTCCTAGGCCAGCTGAGAGACCACTTCAGTGTGGCCTGGGTCTATCCGAGGACCCCTTTCTGGTGGGACATGCCTGGAACCCCCTCTCAGGGATGCTGATGAGGTATACGAAGCAGATGCCAGGCCCCATGAGCGAAGGCCCATCCACCAGGAACTCTCATACGAGCCATGAACCCAGGCCTCGCTCCAGGCCTGGTGGTGAGTTTTGGAACTGTTTTCTATTAGGGATCCCACCAAGGGCAACCCCAACCCCTAGCAACATAAATCCTCAGATCATCCAAGCTTGCAAACTCCTATGTGCTATTTCTGCATACAATCCAAAAACAGGATGTCTGACCTCTACAGCTCTGGTTGCATTGGTGGAGCTCTTGCGGATGTGGAAGAGTCGGGTTTTCCCTGCAGCGGTCTGTCCTCCGCGGGACGTCCCACCCAAGAAAACCACCAAGGGCTTATCTTTGAACAGGCTGACCAGGTGAGCAGGCTCCTCCCCCTGACACACACGCACCTGTGAAGGCAGAACAATAAGAGATTATTTTGGTAAACCAAACCCAACACAATGGTATTTAGGATTAAAATAAACACTGTACCAGATTAGCAACTCCTCCCATACATTTATCCATTTCAACAGCAAGAACTGCAGATGCTCCCAGCTCATTCTTGGAGCACTTGTTTCCCTGCCTATGGAACATTAAAAGCAGAAGTCACATGGACAATTGTGATTCATTGGAAGTTAAACCTACTGTAACAACAAGTTAGTCTGCCATTCAAACCCCTCACTACTTCTATTTGCTCAAAGCCTACGGTCAGTCAAATCAAATTTATATCACAAGCACATAAATCCCAATGAAGAGTCTTTGCTCACCAGTAGTAGATGATGTGCCTGGTTTGTGATCCACACTTGTAGCTGTACTTCACCAGGTAGCAGTCTCCTCCATAAAACTGACCATATGTTGATGGGTCCACTGGAACTTGACCATTGTCCTCCACACGCCAGATCTAGGACATCACAACGAATAAATGTCATGGGTAAAAAAAGTTTCTGAGTTTCTCAAAATCACAAAAATGTTTCAAACCATTAACTACAGATTTTAAACAAAATAGCATGTATTGATTCAACAAACATCTCAAAAAGCTTAAGAAAGCATAAGAAAAACTTCTGTGTGAATATAGTGTTTAGTATGTTGTTTTTAATTTGCCATTTGCAGTAAAACCACATTGGAATAACTGTACAAGACTGTGCAACAGACCAGAGCAGCATTATTGGTTTGATAATATTCAAATTATACACATAGCAACAAACCAAGATATATTTTATTGGAATGATTGTTAAGTTTAGCTTGGTTAATTTGATAATACACAGTCCAGAAAGCTATATGCACGGCCTAGTGGTTCTAAATAATCTCTAAAAAAGAAAAGTTGGCATTATTAGTATTTCTGAAAAAAAGAATACGGTGGGATGGTTCTATCGCTAAAAAATAGAAATGATAAAATGTGATTATTTATATCTTTGTATACCTTTACATCGCCTGAGCCATCATCAATCATAGCGTGCTGGGCGGCCATAGCTTTGTTTTCGTGAAGCTTGGAGGCGTTGAAAGGAACTTTTTTCACTTTGGCGATTCCTTTTGAAGTGTGGACCTGACTGGGGCCTGTGGTCTCATCTTTGTCCAGCCAGTTAAAGAAGAAATCCTTGAACAGAGTGCTCTCTCCTCCAGCTGCAATGATCTGGATCTGCACCAGAGAGCAGAAAATATGGAAAAGAAAGATGAGTGGACCTGGACTAGCTGAGACGGATTTTTAGTCTATTTTGAGGATATTGTCACAATATGTTGCTAATCTCTGTAAATATCAATTCAATTTTAATTCAATTAAAATTATTCTTGTATAGCCCTAAAACAGTAGTTATTTTGGAAGACTTTACAAAACCATTGGATTTGTAAATACAGCGGTTTAAACACAAGAAATGCAATGATGAAAAACACATTACTCCAGGGGCAGATGTCTGTAAATGTTTATAAATGTCCATAAATGTTCATAAATGTTCATAGATGTTCATAAAACATAAAAGTTCATAAAACATAAATACTCATAAACGTTGTTGAATGTCAAGTGTCCTGGATCCTATTTACATTTATTTATTCTATGTTTTGTGTATAGTCCTTTGGTCGAGAGTCACAAATGTGAAAGTGCTTTAGAAACAAAATTATGGTATGAGAAGGTCAACCTAAGCCCTGAGACTTTGTTATTTCTTTTTTGACCAACATTGTTCATTTTTATATTTCCTTTTAACAAATCAACAAATTCGTCTTTTGAGACAAATGTTGCTGTGATTTACAATGTACAAAAAAATGCAGGGAATTTTTTGAAGGAATAACTATATTGCTGAAGCTATACAGTAGACATAGAGAAGCAAAGGGCTGTTAATATTTGGTACTCATTGAATCAATTTGACTTTGTACCTGTGTGTGAGATGGGTAATTGTGTTCTTTGATGAAGTTGTCTGCAATGGCCCGAGCTGCCCTTCGCTCTTCAGGATTAGCATCTTTTCCTATTGGGATACACAAAAAATAAATAATTATTATGTTAATTTTTGAATACAAACACAATAATCATAAGGCACATACATTTCACATTTTTCACAGTAGTTATACATAACAAAATAAATAGAATATAGTAATAAAAAAGTACCATTGCTACATAAAGCTATAGGGAATGCTATATATTGCTCACAAAAATATTCTTTAAAAAACTGTGTGTGTACCTTTCCAGACAAAGATCTTGCGGTCGCCTCCATTGTCCAGGATGTAGCAATCAGATTGACTAAGCATGGCTTGTTGGAATGGGTTCTTTTGAGCCACGAGAGTCGTCTCCATGGACCCGGCAGCATCCGAGATCTAAACACATTATCAATAGCTTTTTTGATTCGAAAAGACAACCTCTGCGGCCTTCATACAAGCAACCAGACACATGTATATTTACCCTTATCACATTTTATTGTTTACCATCAGTATATATATAACATGACAAAGCATAGCAAAGTATATATTTGTTTACCTTGTAGAGAGTGGCCACACACTTGGACTTCCTTGACACGCTGGCGTCTGATTCAGGGCATCCAGCAGGGAGGTCCGGTTTAGGCCCAAGAATCTGTCAATAAACAGCACAAATCATTATATATTTGAAAAATGGGTACAGCTTTTACCCCTTTAATGTTTTTGGTTACACCTATATAGTTTATCTATATAGTTTGAAGCAAGATAACAAATGAGGAAAAAGCAGTGAATCTTACTGAGATAACTTCTTCCGGTTCGCTTCCCTCGTTGATCCTGTGCATCTCGCCTCGGCCACAGCGCTCGTTGTCGCGGATGTCAAGGGCCAAATGTGTTGTCTTCAGTGCCTCAAAACGGTTACAGTTGGTTCCGGACCAGTGGTAAATGTTCTATAGTAGTTAAAGTAAAAAGTAAGTCAAAAATATGTTGTTTTTTTTTTTTTAAACAGATCAGGGATGTCAAACTGGTTCCAGAAAGGGCAGGTGTGACAGCAGGTTTTCATTCCAAACAAGCAGGAGCACACCAGACTTAACCTGCAGTCTTCCTTGGTTGGAATGAAAACTTGCAGCCACAACGGCCCTTTGAGGACCGGTTTTACAGGCCTGGTATTGATAAAGAAACACACTGAACTGGGTTTGCCCAAGGAGCAGAGAGCACCTCCAGATAATATAAAATAAGATTAAACTTTATTGACCTCACAATAGAACAATGTACATGTTACATTTGGCTTCAAGGTTGGTAGTCTATAGAGCAAGGTGTCATTAAGTGACTTCTGTAGAGGAGATGAAGAAGAAGAAGAAGTATTATTGTTCAAGCTCAGACAGTACCTTCCCCAGGTCAATGATGAAGCAGTCTCCAGAGTTGAAGGAATTCCAGGACATAGGGACTTCCGTGGCTCGGATAAAACGCCGGCCTTTCACGTGCATCAAACGCTGCACATCGACATCATTGGTCACAACGTGGTTGAAGCCTGAAGCCACGCCTCCTTGCTGAGGATAGAAATAAAAGAGCTCACAGCCATACAGTCGGGAGAGTTGGAATGAGCCCTCTTCCCGGTTCATCGCATCTGTGCCACATTTCCTGCTTTATGATTCTTCTTTGAGCTAGCACTTGTATTCATCAAATAACTTATTAAAATTTGTATTTGTCATGTAGTAACAATGGGATCTTTTGCAAATATTCTGCTTTTGTTTTTCCCCAATGCAGAGACAGCCCCAAAATGTCAAAGATACACATTTTGAGAATGTTAAATGTACTTTAAAAAAAATGCAAATCCTATACAAAAAGTTCGACATGTTTAGCAGTGTAGGTGATATGCGAGAAGAGCTGACCTTGTACTTGATGGCAGGTTTGAAGTAGCTCTGAAATGTTACAGATTCTTCACCCTGAAACTCTGTGTACTGACAAGGGGTTCCTCCAAGAAAGTCATCCAGCTGCGTCATTAAGATGGCCGCCGAACCAAACTCGTCCTGGGAAGACTCACTGCCTGTGGAGCAAGACCAGGAATAGAGATTAGCAATGTGTCAATCTTCAGGTGGGAAGAATGGGACAAAATGCCATTTATCTTATCCAAAATACATGCTTTTACTGGTTTACCCACGTTTATATGGGAAGAGGGGACACAACTCAACTTTTACCACAGACCACTCTTGTCTCAGTGTACTTATGGAAGACACAATCAATGATAACCACGCCATGTTTTGCGACAGTCAAAGCTTGTTTTGTAACAGTGTCTTTCATATGTGCAGTGCTAGCACTTTTGGCAGGTATCTTAAAATGACTGCACTAGTTTACTTTGCACAGAACAAATTATCCCACAATTATTCCAAATCAATGGAATAGGAAGGGTTCTATGTTGAGATTGATATTGAAGCATTTACAGCTAGCTAAGAAAAATAACAGCTACTTATATTGTATATTATGTGTGCTCTTACTACCGTCCCGTATGTGCGCTGTAACATTGACATTTACCCCCGTGGGTCAAATAAAGGTTCTCTCTCTTCTTATCTCTTATGACGTCATATGTCAAAACACAAGGATTATTATGACTAACTTGAACCATTCATGATAAGAGGCTGTTATGGAAGGTTATACCTCATTTTAAAGTGAATGTCAGTTACATTTCAAACTGTGGAGGGTGTGAAACTGGTTAGACCTGCCCATGTTCACCCACGCAGCTTCTTGATTGGTCGAAATTAATTCAAATCCTTGTATGTTGCTGACATCAACAATCAATGTATTTTGCTGACATCAACTTTAAAACGTATATTTACTGACAACCATGTGATTTAATTTAATATAAAAAATGAAAAATATGACATCATTGGACTAAACTGACTATTTTGTAAAAAAAAAAAAAAAAAAAAAGAAAATCTTAAAATTAATTTCCAAACTCATGTTATGAGGAAATGTCACCAAAATACCCTCATAATGCCAAAAAATGAATTTCCAAAGCTTCAAACAAATATTCAACCAGCTTTTTAAAAATTCAACCCTGGGTCAAAATGCAATGGTCTGTGTGGAGTCTGCATGTTCTCCTAGTGTCTGCATAGGTTTCCTCTGTGTGCTCCGGTTTCCCCTACCACTAAAAACATGTAAAATAGGTCTGGCATGCGACCATCTGTGGAGTAATAGGACAAATTGTAAAGCACTTTCTGACTCTGGTCTGTAAAAGGCACTATATACAAATAAAAAATCCAATGGTCATTATGAATGGTCTTTGTCCATTATTACCCAAACAATTTAGGAAAACCGGACTGCCACACTACAATCTACATTCCCAGGTGATTTCTCTACAGATATTCAGACTTGTTATCCAGTTATTGCCCCTGAACGTCCTGATGGCTGCTCACCTGCCCAGGAGTGGACATTGTGGGCCTTGCCAGCGGTGTGGAGCACTATGTAGGAATCTCCACTGAAGAAGTTCCCATGCTGCTCTTTGGGGACAGGGTTCAAACTCCCCTTCTCGATCCTCCACACCTGCAGGCCGTCCTTCTGCCCCGCACCTTTGAAAATCTGTTCCATCGACATGATGCTTTTGGCCTGAGGAAGGAACACAACATTATATTTATAACCAAATATTCCACAAAGGGATTTTGTCAATATTTGAACAATTCCCAAAGGTTTGAATTACCTTGATGTAGTGTGCCAGCTATATAGGTTCAGTATTCACATATGATATTTCTAGTGTATACCTTTCTAATCTCTAAGAATCTTAAACAATTACAGAAAATATGGATTACAAATTAAATAAAAATGTGTACTATTGTTTAAACGTAGGGAAGAGCCGTGTGACTATAAGTACAGGTAAAAATCTGAAAAGTTACAACACTGTTCTTAAATTTTATTAATTACAAAGTGACATATGTCTTTGTTGTAAATATGAATGATTATGGCTTACTGTCCATTTTCAAAACCCCAATTAAAACTGGTTTGTCTTAATTGGGGTTGTTACAAGTGGTGAGCTAACTTAAATCTATTGTTTTCCTGTTGAAAGTCGCAGCTTGTGTTGGGCTGTAATCAACATAGAATATGTCTTTATGCTGCAGAACCTGAAGAGCAGGGATATTGTTTAACTTGTTACATCATGAGAGAGGGCTCCTGGGTGTGTCCTTAAACTGAGGTCGTGGAGGTGTGCCCTAAATGTGGTTAAAGAGCTGTACCGCACTGACAGACAAGAAAACAAATAGGAATCAACATATTCCAAAACAGAACAGTATATACCAGTCTCAAAGGCATTTCAGTGAATATGCCATTACACGTGCAAGTCTATTTATGTCAAACTAATATGAGACTTATTACATGCAGTGAGATTTATACAACATTTATCTGCAATAATGTTGGTAATTGTGAGCCATACTGTGAGCCATAGTCATAAAAATTATAATAAACAATAACTTGGCATATGTCACTTTGCATGTGAGTCTTTATCATAAATTGGTGTCGCAATTTAACTTGAATAACAGAAATAAATTGTCAATTATTTTTGTTCAAACCAATAAATTACTTTTCCGAGTTTCACCAGTAGATTGTACAAAAGCTTTGATTGTGTTGAACCTGCTGGAATGACAATAAACATTTGTTATTCTATATATTTCAAGTGGTGCCGTTACAATACTAATCATCGGGAAAGTCCCAATTATATTGTCAAAGAAGCAAATCTGGTTTACTGAAACAGGGTGTAGCTGTAACTATAAGTTGGCACAAATACATAACAACACTCCCAGCCACACCTAAAGTAATGACATTTGAGGCAGGTGTCGCAATAAATTTAAAGTTAAATGATAGACATAAGACAGGTCTGCATCTGCTGCTTAATGTTAAGTAAAATGATGGGAGCATGAGGAAAGTAAAAAGATCTGAATCGCAAACGTACCAAAACAAAACTTGTATTAAATGGTTTCAGAAAGACCACATCCAAACACTTCTCATATGTCTTCTTCCAGAATACAATAGTACTGATAGATCATTGTACATATCAAAAACATATCAAAGTCATTCAAAATCACAACAATAATATTTGCAGTGCATAAACTATACACAGACAGCAGATTGATCTTGAATTTGTCTCGGATCCATCCATTTTCTTCCCCTTAATCCATTTCTGGGTCAGGGGGGGGGGGGGGGGGGGGGGGGGGGGGGGGGGGGTGGCAATCAGAGCTGCACCCAATACACAGAGCACCAGCCCCTCACTGATTCTCCTGCAGGTGGTGAGTCCACAGGAGCTGAGATCTTCCAACGGGGGCTTCAGGCAAAAGTGGGGTTAAGTGTCTTGCCCATGGACGCAACGACAGCAGTGGGAGTCTTGAAGTAGGTCTTGTAGGGGCTCGAACCCACGACCTTCAGGCTCAAAGGCCAATGCTCTACCAACTGAGCCACTGTCACCCCCTGCCTTAGATCCAGATTATTTGAAAACACGACACAATGTTGTTTGTTGGTTTGACAATCACTGATTTTGTTTTACATATTAAACCACAATTTACTATTCACACTGGTCTGCCCTGTGTGTTGCAACTATGACATTTCTACACTATAGAATTGATCTTTAAGGGAGGGCATTGCTAACTTTTTTTGCTCATATATAATACATTTTCTTTGTTTTTGTCGAGTCTTGTAAAAGTGAAATGTTGTGACCAAATTATTAGACCATAACAAGTCAATATCTTGTACAGAAATATGCTTCGTAAAGTTATAAGAGCCCTGTGAGCTGAGTGAAGGTGGTCCTCTCTTTTTCAGTTTTTTTTTAGATAACTAAAAACTTAAAAAACATTAATGATAAAACAATTGCATGTGAAAACTTTAGAACTGAACTGTTTTGAAAGCTAGTTGGATTTAGTTACACAAAACAAAAGACATGTTTGTGGTTTGAAAGTTAGGTACTCATCAACAACTGCTGAAAATTGCTGGTGTAATTTGTTCTATTTTAAGTAAATCAAGAGATGTTTTGCTTGTTTCATTGAAAAAACATTATTATAAGACACAACCAAGCCGTCTGGCCTTAGCCATCCGTAAACTCCGCTCAATTATAATTTCCTTGCATGTAATTTGTACTATGGTGTGGTACGACCAGGCTAAACCCAGCCCAAACCCATGCACGAATCAAACAAAAACAACTTCTGGACTTTTTGTTGCCGTAATAGCAGTATCAATTCTCACTTTTTGGTTTTCTTACCTGTAGAATATTATCACAGATGTAGAGAGGAGTCCAGGTGCTGCTGCTGTTGTTCCCCTGTCCGCACCTCCTGCTCCAAATACCTCCACTTTATACCCTGCAACAACATCCGCATGAGAGCAGGAGGTGTGCCCTGTCCCGCCCTAAGTCCTCTACTCTTACAACATGGCTCTAACTCACCCAAACACACATGCAAACACATGCATACATAAGCACAAGCACGCACACACACACACACGCACACACACTACAAAAGAAACTCATTCTTACTTGATGCAAATGAAAGGATTGTGATTTTATTATATTTTCCCATGATTTGGAAATGGAGCAAGCAGATTGTGTCCAATATCAAGCATGGCATTTGTTATCTCAATTCAAATGTGTGTGTTGTTTCACGTGAAATGAGACGTGTTTTGTTAATTTTGTAAGTAAATCTTAAATTATGATGTAGAAAAATATCCTAAAATCAAGACAAAGGCCTTATTTCTTTGTATTTCTATGCACTGCACACAGACTTCCTGGGTTTAGTCGACCCAGAGTCTGCACAGAACAGTTTTAAAGCCAGCTGAAGGGCGTTAGCTACAAAACTTTCATTTTGAAGCGCTTTGGGCTGACAGCTTTTTATTGGCAAAGTGAGCAGATTTGAAAAGCAGATCAAAATTTGGGACGGTGGCCAAAAATACAGTTATGTGAAAACTAGTGATAGAACCAAACTGTTTGAGTCAGGAACTAGCTGTGGGTTTTATTACATATAGATAAATGTTCAGTGTTTTGAAAGAAGAGTACTCAAAGTTTCTGTAACTGCAAAAAAGAAGATAAACTCAAATAAATACATGATAGTTGAAATTCAGAATCCATGATAAGAAATGAATGACTGAGGCTGAACTCCCTATTGTTTTACCTTTGCACGCAATTAATTTCAATTCAACAACATAAAATAACCCTCGAGCTTTTGGTGATCTTGAGGTCACCCTCGGCTTGAAAAAGGTTGGCGACCCCAGCAGTACTTGGCAGAGTAGTAGTAGTAGTAGCTCTAGCATTACATACACTGTATAAAACGGCATATTTATTTTCTCCCTGAAATTAGGTTCAATGTGAAATCAAATAAGAACTTTACAGAGACACATGTCACAGTGTATCTTTATTTAGTATGTTTATGTAAGTACCATGAGTATGTTTTGCGAAAATACTGTGTTATAAATTACATGCAAATTCTTTACATGTCACATATCAAATACCTATTGAAAACACAAAATACATCATATCTATTCAAAGCTTGTTTGAACTGATAAAAACAAAAACATTTTTTTCAAATTGCCACATGAGAAACTATTGTGTGTTGCTGAAGAGCGGTGTTGTCATAGGAGGATATGAATGACTAAACAAATATTATCACATGTCTCTCAACAACGTGATTATAATTTTTACATTGATCTGATACAGGCCCTGTAAACACAAACTTTGATGAATCTAACCTGCTGACGTAGTACACTGCAAGTTTATTTTCATGGCAATTTCATATCAAATATTGTCATAATTTCAGTCATTTCAATGTGATGATCTCATGTATGTTGTATTGCCCGCTGCTAGTAGAAGAATCCATCCATCCATCCATTTTCTTCCACTTAATCCATTTCTGGGTCGGGGGAGTGGCAGTCAGAGCTGCACCCAGTACACAGAGCACCAGCCCCTCACTGATCCTCCTGCCGGTGGTGTGTCCACAGGAGCTGAGATCTTTCAGCGGGGGCTTCAGGCAAAGTGGGGTTAAGTGTCTTGCCCAAGGACACAACAACAGCAGTCATGAGTGGGAGTCATGAAGTAGATCTTATGGTGGGCTCGAAACCCACGACCTTCAGGCTCAAAGGCCAATGCTCTACCAACTGAGCTACTGTCGCCCCCCGCGAGTAGAAGCATATGTGACTAAATCATATTCAGTACTTACAGTTTTATATTTTATGATTCAGTTTTCACCACATGCAGTTGGGCATGTGGGTTGGGCTATTCAGTGGAAAAACTTGAATGAACTGCTTGTTATGGTCTGTGAGGTCGAGGGGCTGTTCTTGTGGCAACATTGGCACCGAAATAAAATCCCCCTGAAGCCTTCTTGCCACCTCTAGTCACATCTGGCCCATCACTCCCAGTGGCTGCCTCAGCACATTCTGTCCCATTGTGCTGAGGATAACTTCAGCCTCTCGACACAACACACACAAAACACGTAGGAGGGACTTTGGTGAAGGAAATTGCCCAAGTCCTGGTTTTTGTGCATGATTATGAGACACTGCGGGCTGCTCACTAAATTATAAACTGTATGTGCAACAGTGAATTATTTTAATTTGATACTTTTTCTTTCAACGTATTTTAAGTGTGGACTTTTGTATGGATTTAATTTGCGGTGTTTTTATTTAAAAACTTCATCTGTAAATGTGAACTGTCTCCCCTGGCTCGGACTCATGGGCTGTCCCCCCGCCTGGGAGCCTCCTAATTGCTGCACTGCACAGCCTCAGTCCTTGTTGTACAGCCTGAGTCCTGGTTCTAAAGCCTGTCTGTCACCTGGTGCATTAGAGCATCCAATCATCACCATCCATTCACTATAACAAGATTCATACCTATTGTACATGTTATTAGTGGAAGGGGACACTGGAGCACCCAGAGGAAACCTTCCCAGCTATTGAGAACATGCAAACTCCACACAGAACCATTGATGTGTGGTACAGTGTGTAACAAAACAAGTTGACACACGAAGCATTCTTGGGCGTCGCGCTGGGTCTGGTCCAGCTCATACCGTAGGTCTGTGCAGAAACAGTCATGGCCTTTGTTGTAAATATTAGTCTGCACAATGTATTATCACTCTTATATGGTACATGGCTCATTCAGGTACATGGCTCATTCAGGTATCTGGCTCACTCAGGTATATTTAGTGACTGGTGGCTATGATCACTGTCGCCTCACCTTTTGTCACTCAGTACATTCAACACTGCACTAGTTGTATTCAAAAGGACTAACTGAAACCTGGTAATATTCTAAGTTTGTTCAACTGGAATTAGGATTGACAAAACAAGTACGAGAACTGAAAATTTTTCATCACAAAAATTGCATCAAAATTGTGTCAAACTATATATAAATGTACATGTATTCAATGTTTCTGGTACTCTCAATGATCCCTCCCTACCTCAACCAAATAAGTAATGCAAATATATGTAAATATTGTATGCTAGATTTCATTTGACGAATCAAAAATATCAAAATATACAATTACAGTATATGTTCAAAATCCATGTCGACCTATAGCCAAGATAAAGATAACCAAGAAGAAGAACATCTCAGCAAAACCTCCCTGTAAAACTCAACACAAAAAAGAAACTTGTGATAACACAAGTCTGACCTGTCCTGACTCAAGTCTCATTGCATAACACAATTGTTGTTCTAAATTTGCTGGTGCCAAGTGTTTTTAATTGGGACAGACCTCCGGCACACGTTGGGTCTTGTTTTTTAAAAAAGCCTGGTTCTCTGTCTTCATTGTCATTTAAGTAAAGGCACATGTGGTAAATACTGAACAAATGAACTTTAAGTGAAGCAAATAAGGCTTAATATCCTGTCACAGCAGAAGTGTTTGTATAAGGATCCTCTAGTAATAATGTCCAAATATAAATATCTTTTTAATGGCAAGGGGCATCTAAAGAGATCGTTTATCCGTCCCACAAGTTACAGAACAGGAAGGACGGAACAGGAACAGGAAGGAGGATCACACAAGCACCAAAAAAATTACAATACTATACTTAAAACTATCTAACTATGTTTTAACTTAATAAAGAAACAAAGTATGAAACCTAACATTTAACGTATAAACTTACAGTATATACTTGGGTGAAAATTAATATATGCATGCATGGTTTAGGAAAGTTTATCTTGTCTTCTCAGTAAATTAAGGTATTGGGTTCTTCTAAATCAGAGAGATGTAATTTAGCAACATTATCACCTTGAAACGTTTCAACGGATTACTTCCATCTTCATTAGAAGCGTCTTCTTCAGGAGCGTCTCGTGAGAGGGTGAGTGCCAAAGGAACCACAACAGCTAACAATATGTACATTTAAAGGAGAATACGTGTATCCACAGTGAGGCAGTAGAGAAGCATTTTGAGTTGAGCTTCCCGACGTTTAAGTGTAGATTGCATCCATTCTGGTCACTTTCTTTTAGTCTTCTTTTTACAAATCTCAGCCACATGCTGTTTGCCTGCGGGTGATAGTGTAAGCGGTTGAAGACATCAACAAGATCATTTTAAACATGGAAAGCACAAACATCAGTAAATTAAACAGACTAAAACATATCTTTAGGACAGTCCCTTGTGTGCGTGGCCTGTACATGTCGGTTAAAAGGATCAACACATGGTGTAACAGAGATGCCTGTGGCCGCTGTGTAGGAGGTAATAAGTAAATATGTTTCTCAATTAACCTCAGAACTGCACTAGCTGTCATTTATCTGCGACACATTTGAAAGATTTTGAGACATGCCTGACCTAATACAGACATGTCACTTGTCGCACGGTGGCTGAGTGGATAGCACTCTCGCCTCTCAGCAAGAAGGTCCTGGGTTTGAATCCCGGTCGAACCAGGGCCTTTCTGAGTGGAGTTTGCATGTTCTCCCCGTGTCTGTGTAGGTTTCCTCCGGGTACTAAAATTTCCCCTACCACTAAAAATATGTCCAATAGTTCTGGCATGCGCCTCCTGTACTGGCGACCCCGCTCCCATCTCTGTGTGGAGTGAGAGACAAATGCCCAAACTTAACAATTGTAAACCGCTTTGAGACTCAGATCTGCAGTGAGAAGGCGGTATATAAATAAAGATAACTTACTTACTTACTCTCAGGCCCCTGAAATGATTGAGTATCATCATTCCAGTAACTTGCACTATTGATGGTAATGGGATACAATGGCATGTTACACCTCTTCTTGATATTTGGCCCAATTGTGGGTGAATCTAGTCTGTTCTTACCAAACCATCGTACTAATTTCATTTAGTTTGTTAACACGTGGGAGGGGTTAACTTCTTTTGCAGATTGAAACGATTTGATCTGAGTTAACCACATGCACCAGAGTGAGTGAGGAATGTAGCCTTTAGCCTAGCTTAAGCCATTTCCTTTGCCACTAAAGGAGCCTGTGGGGAGTAGAGAAACAACATCTTGGCCCGCAAAGAAATTCGCTAAAAATTCCTCTTTCTCCGGCTTCAATTTCTTGATAGCTGTTCCGTTGCTTCAGCCAGTGGATCTCCACTCGCCATGATGCCCAGACCACGGCTCCGGAACTCTTGTCCCTTCTGGACCCTCTCTGGCCCTCCCTGCCCTGGTGTGGGTACTTGGGGAAGTGTCCAAGGAAAGATGTATTAAAGATGCAAGCATAAAACTAAATAAAGGAACACTCTAAACACACAATAAAAGCACTTAAAACCACTTGTGAAAATCCACTTTCCCACATGTGCACCAAAAGAACAAAAGACAGATACAATACACACACACAAACACACACACACGCACGCGCACACACACATGCATGCACGCATTCTATATCTGTAGAGTTTGACATATCAAATACTGTCTGCTGTTGACTGAATAATGACTGAAATGTTTTTTAAAATACACACCTACTGTACATGACACGCTAGTAGTGCAATTACCTCCACTTTACTGATAATTTCCACTCGTTGGGTGTATCTTTGAACCTAAACCGGTCTGAGCAGGAGTGATAGAGCATAAGCAAAGTATAAACCAGACGCCTCCATGAACTCATTCACTTCATTTCACAGAATGTCGTTGCATTGTTGTTGGGTTACACCCTCAAGGCCAAATATGAAAGACTTAATTTCCTCAGTGCCTCTGTAAACATGCATTTAAACATGAAATCTGCTGCGAGAGAAAACTGAACCTTTCTACAGACCAAGACCTTGGATCAGGATGAGAAAACAGAGGATGATGGTCAGGTGATTATGGGACAGACACAAGGAAAAAGAAGGTATTAAAAAAACTATAAATCGTGTGGAGACTCAGTTGGCCCAGGACACGTGGGTCTTTCCTGGCTGGCCAGGGAATTCCTTGGGATTTCCCCAAATGACCTGGAGGAAGAGTGTGTCGACAGGGAAGTCTGCTTTGACTTCTGCCACCGAGAGTTGGCAATGGATAAAGCAGATGAAAATGTATGGAATTATGCAGCAAGATTTGATCCCTTTTATTTAAAGTCAACTTAAAGTCTTTATTTTCTTAGGGACAAGTCCCAAAAATAGATTTTTTTTACTCTGACAGGGGAAATGTTACAACCCAATAGTTGGTAATTCTACACTCTATTAGACCCAACCCCAAAGATAAATGATAAATGACAAATGATGAGTAGATGAAAGTTTAGCAGAGTCTGTTTAGCAACGCTCGAGTAGACTATTAGAACCAGTGGATTGGACACATCTGGTTTTTCTACTTCTACATATCGTTTCTTCACAGAGGACAGTTTGTGTGTGAGATCAAATAATAATCGATAATACCTAATCAGTGTCACCACACGGCGGGACAGTGGCTCAGTTGGTAGAGCAGTGGCCTTTGAGCCTGAAAGTTGTGGGTTTGAGCCCACCAGAAGTCCTTCACCAACTCCCACTGATGTCTGCGTTTGTTGTGTCCTTGGGCAAGACACCTCTTTGCCTGAAGCCCCACATTGAAAGATCAAGGCTGTGTGATCACTGACAGAGCATCCTCCTGTGGACTCACCACCTGCCGCAGGATCAGTGAGGGGCTGGTGCTCTGTGAATTGGGTGCAGCTGCCATGGATGGATGGTGTCATCAAAAAATGTATAGGAGCTGTGGAGTTTGAGTTCTTTGAGCTGAGATTGTTAACACTTTGTATATAAATGTTTTCTTTGTATTGTCTCCAGCTGTTAAAGACCGTAGTCACTGAAAAGCCATAAAGAACTACAAATAAATAAGTGAAAAAATGTGCAGGAACACTGAAGCAGTAGTAACACGTCAGAATTCATAAAAGCCCATCTTTAAATATCATATCCTACTTAACATATTGTCCTCTGAAAACACATTGAATTGATTTTAAACTAAAACACTTGGTTATGAGTGGTTCTAACAGTAATCCAGGAGAGCGATGAAGTAAAATGGAGCAGATGGGGTGGGTTAGGTTAGTAAGACCAGAGGTTGGCAGGTTCAAAGGGGTTGGAAGTTTAATTATAATAATACAGTAGTTTTATATATCGCTTTTTGGACACTCAAAGATGATTCCTATTGTTATGGGAAAATCCAGTAACAACATATCAAAATACAAACATAAGTATTAACCACTAATCCACTTTTCCAACATTTAGATATTGTATATTTTACTAAGACTCTAGACTTCTTCCCTACCTCTCAGAAATCATAATTTAATAGTTAATAAAATTGTTAAATGCATGAATATCTCACCACAAATGTCTTCTTATTTGAAAAAACCTCTTGTTTGAATAAACCTCTTGCAAACTTTAAAAACAGACCCAGTGAGTTGTCATATGATGCTTTGAGCTGAGAGTAATGGGCATTAAATAAATAAACACATACATCTTTTTGTCTTTTCTGTACGAAACAGCTGTTCTAAAGCAGTGACAGAATCCAAATAGGTGATGATAAATCAAGTACCCGAGCTTTAAACTATTTGAGTTGGAGCAAAGGCCTAGATGCATTCACCGATCAGTTATGGGTAAAATAGTGAGACAATTACTGTTCATAAAGTAGTGAAAATGCAATTTATTTAAACTTCCTGTGAGGTTCTTCTCAGTCATGTGAGCAGATCAGAGGAATAGCAGTATGTTAAGCCCTGTTTTTTGTGAATCCGTGGAGGAAATGCCACAGTAGTTTTATTCTGCGCAGATGCTTTTTGATACCTTAAATTAAACTCCAATAAAGTCCACAGGAACACAGAGGAACACTCTTCAAACGGCGCAATAAAACACAAAGGAATAAAGGCAGCCAAAGAAAAGATGCTTTTATTATGAACAGATGACACTATATCCAACAATCCACAAATTTGCAGATTTTTTTATACACTGTACTGAACCCAGATTTCATGGAGTTTAGATAGGACATAGAGTTAGAGTGTTTGCTGGACTGTAAAGTGCACCTGTAAAAAATAACGGAATTTGAAAAGTAAGTACATTACGTCCACATATAGGCCACGCTTGAATATAAGCCGCAGGTTTTCGTGCTGTAATGTAAAACTTAACCAACTGCTGATGGCGCAAAACTAAGCCGATAAAGTCCTGTTTTAACTAATCACAACAACAACAAAACTAGACATTGGCAAGGTAACTTTAACTATGAGCTTTTATGTCAGGATTCATTTACCAAACTGTGTTTCATTTTATCATTTATTTAACCATTATTTAACCATGAAAGGCCCATTGAGATTAAAGTCCTGGACATTTTGACGTTTTAAACATGGTCCATAAACAGCTCTGTTCACATAAACATAAATCACAGCTGTGTGCCTTCCTGTGTCCTGGGGGAGGCAACACAATAAAAATATATGCACTGGCATTGCTATATATTGCTATATTTTCTGCAGGGTTTAAAGTACTTGGAAAAAAGTAATGGCTTAATGTCCGGAGATAATCTTTGACCAACGACTTTTTCTAATTCAATATGTCTGGAGATCATTTTACGTTTTTATCAGGACATGTCTATGTTTCACAAATTTTTTGAAGAGCAAGATCTTTAAAGGTGGGATCTCTAACTTTTTCTTTTTTTTTTCAAAAATGTTACATTTTGTTTGTCCCAACAGAAAAAAGTCTTGTAATAAAGTAAAATGTTACCAACAAGTCAGACCACAACATGCTAGACTTATTAGAAAACATGTGACCTTTCACTATTTGACGCTTTGGGCGAAGTGTGGTCCTCTCTTTTTCACTTTTATGTTTGACAAAGCTGGTCTGACGAATGTGACATATATCACATATAGGAACTAGTTAAATGGATTTGATTACATGGGTCCGTAAATGTGGTTTGAAAGATAGATACTCCAGCTTTAAAGGTGCATTTCCCAAATTTTTTACCAACTTGTTGTCTTTGAGTCTTATGTCTTCACTTGGAATGTCCCTCAGTATGGTATAAAAATGTACAATATTCAATTGTAAGTTGCATCTGCAGATGTACACAGATACACAGACGCAACACACTAAAAGGTAAAGATCACATAATAAGAGACAACCAGACCAGATTTTCCACAGTGCAGAGGTTCTGTATTACTATTATTATTATTATTAATTGGTCATTTCAATTGTCACCGTGAGCTAATCTAGTGTATATTAGAATATCTAAACAAAACTAAACATGGAATATCCATCCATCCATTATCTTCCCCTTAATCCATTTCTTGGGGGGTGGCAGTCAGAGCTGCACCAGTACACAGAGCACCAGCCCCTCACTGATCCTCCTGCAGGTGGTGAGTCCACAGGGGCCTTGATCTTTCAGCGGGGGCTTCAGGCAAAGTAGGGTTAAGTGTCTTGCCCAAGGACACAACAGCAGTGGGAGTTGTGAAGTAGGTCTTGTGATGGGCTCAAACCCACAACCTTCAGGCCCTAAGTCGCCCCAGTGACGTAGATTAACAAAATTACACAAATTCTAATATTCAATGTATTCTATAGTCATTTTTGTTCAAATCGGAAGTTAAAATGCAAGTCAGAAATATATGTGACAGTTGCGGGGGGTTGTGAAGGTGACCGACACGATCTTTGACTGTATGCACGCACAATAACTTTAAATTTTGACTTCAATATGCACATTGTTTAATGTTGCAAGAATGGATGGCTACCTGATCGTTTAGAATTAAGTAAGTGCTTTTACAGACCAATGTCACCCAAAGCGCTTTACAATATTCAGAGTTCAGATAGAAGCAACGACACACTTGTTTGTCACCATTGTCGATAGGAAGTATATTCTAAACTGTGGAGCCTTCCAGACTAACAACATGTAGTTGGACCCCAGCAGGAACCCTCCACCAGAGAAATGCACAAATAAGAGGAACATTTGTGTGTCTATATTCTTTCCAAATCAACAGAAAGAACATAGACAACGTTTGATTACAGCATAACGACCCGACACCTCCTTCATATGGAGTTATTGATATTGTCAGTGAGTTTCTGTGAATGTATGTCTTGTTCTTGGCAGCATGTGACAGCGTGCGGAGCTAAATTAATCCGGATCAGAGCCACGGGCCTGGTTCAAATAAAGCCTTCTTGAAATGACTCACTACAGACAGCCCATTATTGATCCCTGAGGGACACAGGCACAAGACACGCTGCTCCACTGTGCACCGAGTCTGCCGTTCGATTAATGTGAACCAAATGAATACTGCCATTGGTAACATTGGCATCACGGTACATATATGTATAATAAAAAAATGAAATCATAAAAAAAAAACCTCACCGTTATTGTTGTTGTTGTTGTTGAATTCCTGCTCATAGTTAAGAAAGAAAACTTTTTAGGTTTAACACAATTTTATTCAAGAAAAACAGGTTCACAGTTTGCGTACATGAAAAAGAGTTTTCACAATATGCAAATTTGTTGTTTTGGTTTCAGACCCAGGTCACAATGTAATTGATTTCTCTGATTGGCAAAAGAAAGTTACCACAGACCAGGTATTCTCAAATTTTTTCTCTTAGGAACCCCGCAAAATATGCAACCTCCACATCTGAAAACAGTAGCAGTAATATGTTGTCAACACAAGCTGTTCACTTTTTTATTTATTATATATTAAACATCTTTCCCCCTTCCCCCCTAGCTTAGTGCCCTCCCTGGGGTCCTGCTCCCCACCACAGCTATACACTAGAAACTCTTTAATTAGCATTATGTTCAAAAGCTCATTTACTTCTGTATTTCGACTTATAATATGAAACTAATATAGTACATAATAATAATAACCAGTACTCCTTTAAAAAGAGGTTCTTAATCTCAATAGAAATTTCCTGGATAAATAACAGTTAAATAGATAAATAAATAATATATGACAGACTTTCAAAGTGAGATAAATTTATTTGTTATAATGTTGATAACTGGCTCACAGCTTGTACAAACAACTAGTAAAATATATTTCACTTTGCATGTCAGTAAGTCTATATCATATATTTGCTTCACATTTTGAGTTGAACCACAGAAATAAATTTAGAACTTTTTAACGCTATTCTAATAATCCTAGTTTCTCCTCTAAGTGCTCTGAGTGCTAAATTCTGAAGCCCCAAGATTGTGAATGATCCTTACTTCATTTCTTATATTTCCTTGCAAATGCGGCTCCATATTTTGACAAATCCGTCCAGATATGTGAGAAAAAGTCCCTCTGGTTCTAGTCTCAGGGCTCACAACCAGGCGCAGAGCAGACCCTTTCACCTGAGCCCAGCCGCCAGCTTTTCCATGGCGGCTTTCCTCTCCTCTGCTTTCTGCTGGGATCGCTTCAGGACACTCCTCAGCTCCTGCAGGTGGTCCAGGGTGCCCACCAGCTCCCCCTTCACCGTCTTCATCTGGCTCTCCAGCATCTGTGTGTGATGCAGAGAGCTCCTCCGGTGTCTGCGGCTGGAGCGGACCCTCTCCTCCAGGTCCTCTGCAGGCACGAACACAGCATCACCCTCAGCACTTTACTTTACAGCAGATTTTCTTGAACTTTATACGTAATCTTAGAGAGCTGTATGCAGCACTGAGGTCCATGAAGTCTCTATATGCTTCTTAGACATTTCAATTAAAGCAAGTTATATACATGGGTTAATAATTTTTCTCATGTACCGTCATGTGTTTTGGTGAAGATTCTTTTTCAAAACTGTTAATGATAATGTTGGTGTAGTGCATGCAATTTCACAGAATAAGGACTTGTAGAAATGATAATAGAAAAATGTACATATTTGTTAAGATTGATCAGGGTCTCTCATTTAAAGGTTTCATAAATAACATTAGTCTTAAAGTTACAACAACAGTCTATTCATGATGTACGACTATACAGTAGATGGATCTCTATGTTGTAAGAATCCTGCTTATGGCCTCATAGCACAGATTCTGAAGTTATAATGTTTAATATTTGATTAAAAAAAACTTCTGATACTGACCCATGTTCTCCTCGAGGTCCTTGCTCTCTGCTCCAGACTCGCTCTTCTTGTCCAAAAGGCTCTTGGTTTGTTCCAGCATCTTCTCCATTTTGCTGAGCTCGGCCGCCTTTGTGTCGCTGTCGCGGCGGATCTTTAGTAGCTCCTGCTCCCTCTGCGTTAAGTCGTTGTTATATTTGCTCATAATGGAGCCGGATGAAACAAAACAAAACTATTATAGATCCCTCACAGAATTCACAGGTTCTGAAGGGCCTCAGCCAAAGCTCGATAGGACGTAGGAGTCTCTGTAATCGAAATTGTTTGGTAATGATCTTAAATAGGTGAATCCTGATAGTCCTCTCTCTGTTGCTTGAATGAAGCCGGCTGCCGCTGGTTTTAACATTTTATAACCTTCTTGTCTATGAGCGTTGTGAAAACAACACTTTCTGAGAACACACCATACAAATGTGCACACAGTCATGAGACTCACCACAAAGCCCTAAGTCAAAAGAACAAGTTAAACTCACACACTATGTCAAAAGAGCATGCATCAGAAACAGGCCAGAGAATCACTTACAAGATCTCACTGGAACGGTTCTTGTTCATTATGTTCTCAGCCCCAGTACTGGTCAACGTGGATCTCCCTCAGGTTTCTCACTTTTCTCCCACTGGGTTTTGGAGATTTTCCTCGCCGATGCAGGAGGGTCTGTTGAACAGTTATAGTGTCTAACAAGAAGAACTGTAATGATGATCCAGGACACTCTATATTCTACAACATTCATTGGTCTCTCCCTATGGACCAATTATGGAACAATACCTATGTGCTCTATATTTGTTGTGTCTTAACTTTTGATTCTCTGATCTGTGTTCGGTTATTTCACCGTTTCTGCTAAGTCCTCTGAGATTACTACTGTTGTGATTTAGGGCTATACGAGGATAAAGTGAATTGAATGCAGTGAGACACATACAATACAATACAATTTATTCTTGTATAGCCCTAGGTCACAACAGAAGTCATCTCAGAGGACTTAACAAAACCATTGAAATCACCAACACAGGTCAGAGAATCAACAGTTAAAACACATGAAGAATACAGTATAAAGCACACACAGAAGAAAATGTCCATACATGTTGTAGAATGCTAAAGTGTCCTGATCATCACCAATCCTTTCTGTTGGACACTAACTGTCCAACAAGACCCTCCTGCATCGACAAGGAAAAACTATTAAAAAACCCAGTGGGAAAAAGTGAGAAACCTTGGAGGAGAACTAGGGAAACCCACAGGGAGGGAGACCCATATGAGAAAGGGATCCGCTCCTCCGGACGGTCAGACTAATGATCCAGGACCTAAGCTAGCTACAGAACGTGGACCAGTGGACGCTGAACGTGGACAGGTCCGGTGCAGGACTGAAGTACTCCCAGGCGGGTCGGGCAGGGCAGTCCGCAGGTGTAGATGGAAGAGGCCAGGCTCAGAGATCCCGTCATCGTACCATGAAACAGACAATGGGACAACGGGTGAATAGCAATGAACAAACTACAGTCAGAATCCTAAAAATGCTAAACAGATAAAGTAGGAAGGAGGAGAGGATAGTGCTCAAGTTACCATACTTCTCCCAGCAAACTTACTCCCTATGCAGCTTGACTAACACTCTGAGGAGTTTAACCTTCTCCGAGTCTTACCTTCCTAGCCATATGCTAAACTAAAGAGGACTGTTTTAAACCTAGCCTTGAATAAAGAATAACATACAGCATAATATATAACATAATATACAACATAACACAATACATTATTGAATAATATATAACATAATATATAACATAATACAGCATATATATATAATATATACACCATATATTATGTAATACCTAATTATATGCTAAATTAAAGTAGAGTGCTTTAAGCCTGGCCTTGAATGTGGAGACCGTATCTGCTTCCTTAACATAAATGGGAAGCTGATTCCACAGTAAAGGAGCTTGGTAGCTAAATGCTCTGCCACCAACAGTGACCTTTGAGACCTTAGGGACCACCAGACGTCTGGCGTTTTGTGAGCGCAACGCTCGACCTGGTTGATACGACACTAACGTGTCTTGGAGACATGCAATCAAGTCTGGAAAAACTCACAGATCAATGACATATTAGAGAAATAAAAGTACAACCTGGTGATGGGTGTTGCTGCCTATTGAGATATTGAGGGAAAAGCACTAAACCATTTCTTTAAGTACATTTTTCAGTCGAATTATACATATGTATGGGGGCAGGGTAGTAAAGTTTTAGTTTTTCCAAGGTCAGAAAAATAATACATACAGTAGTACTTATAAAGCCAGTTTCATGTCACCCAAAGAAACTTATTATTTCACTCTACAGTGGTGATAAAACTACTGTAGCCATAGCCGCCATGGGACAGTTTGACAGAAGCAATTAAACTCATCTGTGCCATCAGCCCCACCAACCACCACCAATAAATAATGCACATACCCGACTCATACTAGAAAATGTAGGTTAAGTGTCTTGCCTAAGGACAAAAAAACAGTTCCCCTCAAAGAAGGGGAACCATATTCTCTTTGGACAATAATATCATCAGTTAGAATCCAAAAAGTTCATAAATAGTTATATTTAGACGTTTTGACTTTGCCTGTGGTAAACAGTTTGCTCTGGGGTTTCCTCCACGTGGCCTCATTTGGATAAAAAATAGTGTTTGCCTGAACACAAGACAAAGAGCTATTGATAAAATAAACATAACAAGTGAAAACCCTCCCTGAACATATCTCCGTCTGGTTGTGTCTGACACATAGCTCTGAAGCTAGACATTTCAATGCAACATCTATCACTGGCTCAGAAACTTGCAGACGCACTAGTGCACTAGTTAACAGTGGCCACTAGATGAAGACAACAGTCCAATATTGCATGAATGTAAAACGGCTGCATGCTGTAAAGTTTTTTAAAAGTGCTCTACAAATAAAGATGTATTATTCTTATTACCATTATCATTATTATTAATATTATTAACTGTTCCACCATTGGAAAAGTTCACTGTTGCAACGCTTCATTAGAGGTCAGGAAAGGTCTGCAGAGAAATAGGATATTGTTGTATTACAGTTTTTCTCAGTTGCTTTGGTGCTTTTTCACATCAGACTTAAAAGTTCTCCACAACATTGATTGACATGCACGTCATCGTAACAGTTTCTCCTTCGAACAGATTACAAATGCTTTTGTTCATGTATCAGTTACTTTCATACAGTTCTCTGCTGTTTTATAACATTACCATTTGTTTATGTCCACTCAGTCAAAATGAAACATACTTATGACTTCTGAATAGTCATTCATTATAAAAACCAATAGTCCTCATTTCATCGCTTGAGTCATTACATACAAAATTGTTGAACTAGTTTACTGTAGTTGTCGGCTGTACAGTCGTGTAAAGTGTAAAGTGTCACCAAAATCTGACCTTTTCTGCTTTTAAAGCACCTTTAACTGTGTTGTTCATACTCAATAGTGTGAGGACATATTATTTTGACGACACAGACATGGAGACTTGCTTTTGCTGGAATACTTTTCATTTTGAGAAAGTGATTCACTTTTGCAGGTGAACGAGGCACGAGGTTTAGCAGTTTGCACTTATTGTTCTGAGAAATGCACAGAGGCGTCCCGTGCCAACAGGCAAGGCAGGCAGCTGCCTGGGGCCCCCAAACCGGCAGGGGCCCCCGAGGGCCGACTGATTTGACACAAGCGGTCGACTTGTACAGGCCACAACAGGTACTTCCCCTGACAGGGCCCCGCTCCTCTCGCCCCTCCCCCACATGTGTCAGTGACAGAGGTGAGGTGAGCGGAGCGTGCAGGCAGCGTGCTATTTCTCCCAAAGCAAAACAAAGTTGTCCGACCAAATGAAGAGAAGTTATCCTTCTGGAAGCGATAAACAAAAGCGCAAAAAAGAGGAAGACGAGAAAGAAAGCATGATAGCGGTGAGTGACTGTGAGTTAGTTCATCTAGTGACTAGTCTACATGACGCTCTTGGAACTAACTTGTTTGTTTGCGGATCACATCACAGCATTTAGCATTTTGAAGGATTAATACACTTTGATAGCAGGTAGTGTTTGTAATTAATTATAACATGATGAGTGTAGTGAACAAGTTTATAAAAAGACATGCTAATTTATTTCTCATTGCTTTTCGTCACCAAATACTTTTTAAAATACTAATTTTCTATGGTAGACTGTGCAGTATGCCAGGCAGCCCCCAGGCTTGTACATTTATTGTTAGAAATAAGAAATTGTCTACATTTTAATGTTAATGTAAACAATTAATAGATGTTGAATTTTTACTTACTAAATTATATATTTTTCCCCTTTTGCTCAGGATTGCTAAGAAGATTTTTAGTTCCCTCATCTTCTTCAAATCAGGAACATGCTGCTAGTTGTAAGTACTTTATCTATATATATTCTTACTTCTAAAGATATTTTATCAAAATACATTACGACGTTAATGCCATGTTTGATTTCTCTTTATCTTTAAGCTCAGTCTGCCGCTGCACACACTACTACAGCCCCAAGTACAGCCACGCCAAGGTTTACTGCCCCCTCAAGCTCTACAGCCCTGGACAGAGCAGCAGTCAGCTATATCCCATACTGCAATTGTCAACATTTCGTCGCCTACCTCCATTGACCAAGAGGACCAGACAGAACCACAAGCACCCACTCCAGGTATGATATTAGTGCAATAATATATTTAGTTTTAAAAATGCTTGAATTTTACACACTATGGCCTTTTGTAGTATCTACCATATCTATAATTTCAAACAAATATAAGAGGTATACTTGAAAATAAATCAATATCTAAGTTGGTTTGTGTTTTGAAGATGTGTAAATTAAAAATACATAAATAGTAATGTAAATATGGACATACTTAGCAAGCCATCTTTAGCAACAATTGTAATTGTAAAGGCTGTAAAAAGAGACTAAACATAGTGTTTGTTCAAGTAATGATCATCAGGATTATTTATGGTTATTGTGTTTTTCTTTTGAGAATTCATGTGTTTTTTAAATTGGTTTCAGCTCAAACGACACAGACCAAGAAAAAGCAACACCAATAAAATTGACATCTTCTGATCCTGGACAGTGGCCTGATGTTCTTAATTATGGTGAAAAGAGTTCCCTGGTGAAAAAAGGTCCTCTTCAGGTGACGGATATTGTTTTTCCTCAAAGCAATGAACAAAATCCTCGGAGATTCACAAAGGAAAATTATTACATGGTCATGAGAAATGGTGAAAAAATAAAGCGAACATGGCTAGTATATTCAAATTCGACCGATTCAGTGTTTTGTTTTGCTTGCGAAATATTTGGCAAAAAGGACAATAATGCTCTAACTAAAGGAGGGTTTAAAAACTGGAAAAACCTTGTTGCACATTTAAAAGAGCATGAATATTCCAAACCCCATATAAATAACATGAAAAGTTGGCATGAGCTCCAGATAAGGTTAAAAACAAAATCTGCTCTAGATCAAATAAACCAGGATCTATTGCACCTTGAGGAGCAGCTCTGGAAAGCAGTAATCCACAGGATTATTGCTATAATATGCAAGTATTGTCACAGAGTTGAGAACCTATAAGCTTTATTGTTTAGTTGTTAATTATGTTTTCATAATATTGTTGTTCTGCTGATCTTTGTTGTTGTTGTTAGTATTTTGTCAATTCTGTTTCCACTTTATGATGCAAAATAAATAATATATTTATATCTACTGCAGTATTAACCTTTTTATGTGGTTATATGGTCGGTATCGGGGCCCCCAAGGACTCTTTTGCCTGGGGCCCCAGGGTACCCTTGGAACGCCACTGGAAATGCACTATCTGTTGTGAAAACGTGAAGAATGATGTGAGAAATGCATCAAAGCGACTGAGAAAAACTGTAATCTTGGTTAATTAATGTAAGTAGTCAATGGAGTGTGTGTTTATGGCTCTTTTGCAGTCACGTCACCAACGCACATCTGGGCGCCATTCTGAGGGGAAAATGTGTGATTTTGTGCAATTCTTCACTTCTACCACCAGATGGAGGTGTTCCATTACTGAAATCCATCCCAATCATGTCTCCACTCATGTTTAAGGTCCAAAAGTAATGCACAATATCTATTCTTTATAACAGACTAAAGCCATTTTGTTTCTCCCCATTGGATTGTTTAGTTATTAATGTTATGGCGCTGTTTATGTGAATATTATTTCATTGTATTCTAGATGTGAAGAGGTCATGCTCTTTGCTTAGACAGGAAAATTCACACATGTTGAATTTGTTATGAAGGTTTGCTATCCTCCCATTGGTCTCTGCACCCACTGGACAATCCACAAATAAACATGGCACTTTCCTGCAACATCTCATTATGGCCCTTCAAATAATGAATGCTAGAATAAAAACCTATAAGTGCTATGTTCATTTGTCATTGCTGTGCGCTCTCTCCCAGTGGCACGACCCCCCACTCGACATGAAGGCTGCTCTGTGTTTGTTCTCATATGGAAATAGATGTTTTATCGGCCCACTCACAGTGCTTGAAGGTAATGTGCCTTACATAATCACAGGAAAGACGTCCTCTGCAAGCAGGTTACGGACTAATGGTGTCCCCACACTCGCACAAAATTAGGTTATACAGTAGTTACCTGTCGGAACAAGGCATTATACTGTATTGGTCTGTTATTCTTAATTGCATTCATTTGACCTTTTCAAGATGTATGAAGCAAAATGTGCTCTGCATCACTTTGTTTTTAGACCAAGGGGTTCTCAAACTTGATCAGAGGACTCCTACAACCCAACTTGTACATGGCAAGGCAAGGATAGATAGATAGATTATAGATAGATTTTTGGGAAGGATAGGTTTACTGTAATTGTATAGCACAGTTCATACTCAAGGCAATTCAAAGTACTTTTCAAAACAAGAAAATAAGTAAAATCACACAAGGACTTACAATCACAAATAATCACAGTAAATAGAGTGAAGATACAATCCTTCAGTTGTATGCACAGCTGTTTTTAACCTGGATTTGAACATGGTCAGGGTCTAAGCCTAAAAATGTAAAAGAAACACTGTAGATTTGAGAATAGAAGAGAGGAGTAATTGAATAAGTTTCAATGAGGATCAATGTGTCTCTAAAGCATTTGAATTATGAATTAATTTAGAATTCTGTGTTTTCATGTTTTATCTTTTTATTTTTCTTATTTTGCTCTTTTGTTTGTTGTATTCCCTGTTTGTTCCTTTAGTTTTGTCTTTGTTTCTGCGTATGTCTCCTTCCTTAATGTGTGTATTTGTCTGTCTTAATTGCCATTGCCCTTAATTAATAAACTACTGAGTGATAAACAGCTGCCCTGGGGCACACTGACAGAAGTGTGTCAGCAGTGCATCCAACCGCACCACCACCACATACTAGAATCTTTCAATGTAAGTAAGTAAGTAAGTAAGTAATCTTTATTTATATACCGCCTTTCACAAACCAGAGTCACAAAGCGCTTTACAATTGTTATTTTTTGGGCATTTGTCCTCTCACTCCAAACAGAGATGGGAGCGGGGTCGCCAGTACAGGAGGCGCATGCCAGAACTATTGTACATATTTTTAGTGGTAGGGGAAACCGGAGTACCCGGAGGAAACCTTCGCAGACACGGGGAGAACATGCAAACTCCACTCAGAAAGGCCCTGGTCCGGCCGGGATTCGAACCCAGAACCTTCTTGCTGAGAGGCAAGAGTGCTACCCACTCAGCGTGGTGCAGGTAAAATGTCTTGACAATTGACATGACAGTTTGGCACTTTACAGCTGCCACTGCCCCACTGTGGAATTCTCCCTGAGGTCTCCCATCACATCACTTACCAGGCCCTGACTTAGCTTTAGAGGTCTGACGAGATCTAGTTTTCACAAGATTTGGCTAGAACAGTGTGGTCGAAATGTGCAAATTCTAAACATTGCATAAAAAAACAAAAACACTTAAAATAATTTGGAATTCTACATTTATTTGCACGTGCACCCAAATCACGTGTCTATCCTGTTTGGAAATTCTGCCTTCTGACTCATCCCTCATGAATAAGTATTCTTGGTATAAGTAGTTTCTTTCCTGTAAACGTAGTACTTGAGAAAGCACCAGCAGCAGCCCAGTCCCACAGCGCGCCTTTGGATGACTCAGTCGCCGGAGCCTCCTCATTGGTCAGACCGTCTAGAGGCGCTCACGGTGGGTATGATCCTCTCTCCTGCAGCCTCCCTCTCCACAGTGCTCTCTCTTCTTTCCTCACAGCAACACTTCACGCACTCACACGTGAAGCCTGGACACGCGCGTACACGGGGAGAAAGTCGCTTGCATGTGCGCGGTACAGGGGCCAGATTTCTCCTCCGGACCCGAGCGGCTGGTGTGAGATGCGCGGTGTTTCGCCATGGCCAGATCTTCGGTTCCGTGGGGGGTGCTCAGGAAGCCGCTGTATGTGCAGGTAAGAAGCGGGGAAATCCCTCTCCACTCCTGGGTACTAAAGGGGTCAAGTCCAGTGATGTGCTTTGAATACATGTGAGTTATAGACAGCTGAACGCTTCAATTTGCGTTTTCATTCACGCCATGGTCATAGGTCCATTGATTTTAAGCTGTTACATTTGTATAACCTCCAACACACCTACACGTGGTGGTCAAACAGCCAGGTTTACAGTATGTCACCTCAGAATGTGCATATGAGATAATTATTATGTTAAATGCCATTTTACTTTTTGAGTCTGTCTTTAGTGCGTATATGTAGACCACCTGTCATAAAGTCACTTGATGCTCGTGCAGGAAGAGAACCCCCCTTGCATCCCCTGACCCCCCTCACCCCCCCAAGGCTCGTTTCCATAGCAACCACTTCCGTGATGCAGCAGCAGCTGGCGCCAAATGAGCGCCAGTTGCATCATCAAAACATTTTTTTAAACTTATTATAACTTATCTTCTTATTTGCACTTCCCTGCAATAACTCACTCGTTCTTATTTTTGATACTTTTGACAATCGTATAGGTGAGATGTCTGGAGGGCTTTTCAGTAAAGGGATTGGTATCAAAATACAAAAGAATTTAAAACATGAGGCATTCAAAAACGCGTCATGTGGCACTTGTTTCGGAACTGGGCATTTGTTTAAGCCTGCATGAATCTATTATAATGGCTGGCAGAGGTCTCATTTCACAGGTGGGAGCGTCACTTGGTATGACGAACAAATTCAAACTGAAATTGAAATTCCCACTCATTACATATGCTGCACATGACATCCCAAGATCAATAATAAGTAAGTAAGCAATCTTTATTTATATAGCGCCTTTCACAGACCAGAGTCACAAAGCGCTTTATAATTGTGGGCATTTGTCTCTCACTCCACACAGAGATGGAAGCAAGGTCGCACCTCCTGTACGGTGACAGGAGGCTCCTATGGCGACCTTGCTTAGATTTTCACTCTAACTATACACAAAGTTAGAATGAGAATCATATAAAGGAGGGTAACCTAATTCACCATTGGACCAGGAAATGTCTCTTTTAGTGATTCTCTCTTCTCAGTCGGACTCCTTTTTTTTGCTGTTTTCGGGATCTGCTCTATATCAGCCATTTAAGGCCTCCCCCCATAGGTGGATGGAAATGGATAAACAGTTTTATGTGTAAAAGCACGCACACTTAAAACAAAGTGTTCTGCTTTATTAATTTAAACTATGAGAATAAAAGGATAATAGTTGTTCTTTTGACAGCAGGTTAATTTTGTAGCTCAGCATTTACTTACATTCAAAACACTGCAGCAATTTATGTATGGTCTCATTGGAATGTGTGTCCTCGCAGCAGACAGTTTGAAAATCTGTTAATTCTGATCAAGGCCAATCCAAATGTTGCATAGTATCACTGCAAACACACACACACACACACACATAGACACACACGCGCACAGAGACACACACACAGACACATACACACACCACATTCATCCACATGCTAATTGTTTTAAGCAAGAATGGAGACAAACCCGTAAAGCTTTTTACAGTCAGAATACTTGAGTTTGATCAGGATGACTAACGGTGCTATTAAAAACTCCAGAGGCAGAACATATCCACTTGTGAGTTCAGCTATAATTATGTCGCCTCTGTTCACTGTTGAGAGACTTCAGTTTGTATGTGTGGGAAGACTGCTGTGTCTTCATCAGACCAACTTATACTGCAGGTAAAGAAATGTGCCATTATAATCCTCGCATTCATTTTAAATCAGTAATTAATCATAGTCTTGTCCCACTGAGAAAAAAGTGCCTTCAGCCCATCACCCTTCTCAGCCTTAGTTTGGTACACTAAGAGCTTTTTGAAGGGAAAGGGCCACATCTGAACACTTACGGAGTAAAAGTGTTGATGGATAACCTTTCTTTTGCCCTGAGACCTCAGCCTGCGCAGCTCGTGCAGCCATCGAAAAGGAGGAAGCCGACTCTAAAAGTCTCTGCACCTCCACCACCTCGAAGGATCTCAACACCTCCACCACATCGAAGGATCTCAACACCACCACCACCTCGAAGGATCTCAACACCACCACCACCTCGAAGGATCTCAACACCACCACCACCTCAAAGGATCTCAACACCACCACCACCTCGAAGGATCTCAACACCATCACCGCCTCAAAGGATCTCAACACCTCCACTGTCATCAGAAGCAGCTGCATCATCACCAGTAGCAGCACCAGCAGCACGACCACCACCACCACCAACATCCTCATCCCTAGCCTGCTCCAAAGCAGCCACGCCTTCTTCTTCTACAGCGCCTCTGAAGCCCCCATCCTCACCCCAGGCTACAGCAGACAGGCCTGTGCTGGGGTTTCCTCAACCACCTGCCCCTCCATCAAAGACTCCCTCGCCACCTCCCATGGACCTGTCTTGGGTCCCCCCTGCCACGTCCACTCCATCAAGAGAGAATGGGGACACGTCCCTTTGTTTTTCATCCCCGCCTTCACTGTTAGACCTACCTGAACACTCTGCAGGGCTAATAAAATCGGCGATGAAGACTATTCCTCTCACACCCATATTAGCTAGATCTAGAGTCCTGTCCAACATGCTAAACCACTCCCCATATGTACCTCCAAAACCACCTAGGGTTTCCAATTCACCTACAAAAACCACCTCAGCCAGTCCCTCCCCTAACCTCATGACCATTCCACCCCCACTTCCCCCTCGTTCAGCACCCAAAACCTCTGCCTCAGCCCACCCCGGCCCTAACCCATCACCAAAAACCCCTCCACCTCCCTGCCCCCCTCGTTCAACACCCAAAAGCCACCCACCTCTCCATCCTCCTCCCCCGCCTTCCCCTTCCCCTCTTTTCTCTAAACACTAGGATGCACAGGGTCTCTGCTTCGCAGCCCACTGGCAGTCTAGTTAGAGGAGAGACCCGGCTGGGGCCCTGTCATGAAGCCACCTGTGCCATTCCCGTAGTGATAACACAAAGAATACATTACAGAAAGACATCTGGAGTTAATAAGTCTAATCTGGAAAATCTAATTCTTGTTCCGTGTAAGAATCAGCCGACCACAAACGCTGATACTGAAACTTTGAAACTTGCTACGCTTAATGTCAGATCTCTTTGTAACAAGTCTTTTTTAATCAATAATTTTATTTGTTCTCATAATCTTGATCTTATGTTCATGGCTGAAACTTGGCTTGACCAAAATTCAGGAAATGCAGTTTTAATAGAAGCATCACCACCAAATTTCAAGTTTGAATCTGAAATACGGGAAAACAAAAAAGGAGGAGGCTTAGCTGCCATTTTCAGAGACCACTTTGTCTCCCATAGAATGTCTCTTGGGAAGTTTTCGTCTTTTGAATATGTGTCTTTTAAAATACAACAAAAACAATCTCCTCCAATACTCTTCATTGTCCTATACAAGCCACCGCAGTCATGTCACAGTTTTATTGATAATTTTACCGAGTTGCTTTCAGTTGTATGCACAGATTTTGATAGTTTGGTTATTACAGGTGATTTTAATATTCATGTGGATAATGTTGATGACAGAAATGCAAATGAGCTGAGTTCTGTACTTGAATCCTTTGATCTCACTCAGCACGTAAGTGGCCCCACCCACAGCAGAGGGCACACTCTAGATCTGTTAGTTACTAAGGGGGTGAATATTTCAAATGTAAACGTGGTCGATGTTGCTCTTTCGGATCATTTCTGTGTTTTTTTTGACATGTGTTTCACTAACAAACCACCAGTGGACTCTGCAACTGTACGAAGAAGACACATAAATGAAAATACGAGTGAACTATTTATGGGAATGATAAACTTTGAGAATGCATCGTATTCTACTGTAGATGAACTGTTTAACTCTGTCACCTCTAGTGTTTTGAATGTTCTGGATACCGTTGCCCCTGTGAAGGTTAAAATAGTGAAAAATAAGCAGAAGGCGCCGTGGGCTAAAGCAGACTCGGTCAGGGCACAAAAGAGAAAGTGCCGGAGGGCCGAGCGGAAGTGGCGCAAGTCCAACCTCCAGGTTGATTACGAGATCTTCAAAGATAAGTTGTGCGAGTTTAACCGGGTGCTACGTAGTACGAGAGAAAGGTATTTTTCTGAAATGATTGAAGGCTGCAGCAACAATCTGCGTGTTCTGTTTTCAACAGTTAATAGATTAACAAACCCCCCTGTTCAAATGCCATTAGAGCTTACTTCCAAACGTAAATGCAATGAGTTTGCAAATTTTTTCAATGACAAGGTTCAAGGCATCAAAAACGCCATTGTCTCCAATCCACAGATAACCATCCAACAGCCAGAAAGGCTCTCTGAGCTAACTCACTTTGCACCTGTAAATGATAAAACTGTCCAAGAGATAATCTCCAGTTTGAGCTCCTCCACATGCAGCTTGGATGTACTACCCACTAGATTTCTGAAGTCTGTTCTGAGCAGTCTGTTACCTTCACTCACACAGATAGTAAACATGTCCCTTCATTCTGGAATATTCCCAAAGGCCCTGAAAACTGCAGTCATCAGGCCCCTGCTAAAAAAGAGCAGTCTCGATGCTACGGTACTTAACAACTATCGTCCCATCTCAAATCTGCCATTTATGGGGAAAGTCCTTGAAAAAGTTGTCTACCTACAGCTTACTAGATTTCTTATAATCAACAACTCATTTGATATGTTTCAGTCCGGCTTTAGACCCCACCACAGCACTGAGACTGCTCTCGTCAAGGTTACAAACGATATCCGGCTGAACACTGACGCAGGCAAAGTCTCAATCTTAATCTTGTTAGATCTAAGTGCTGCCTTTGACACCGTCGACCATGAGATCCTCTTACAGAGACTAGAGGACTGGGTTGGAGTCGCTGGCACCGCCCTAAGTTGGTTTAGGTCTTACCTTGAGGACAGGAAGTACTTTGTGGAGATTGGAAACTGTGTCTCAGATCATATGGCCCTGACCTGTGGAGTACCACAGGGGTCGATCCTGGGACCTCTTCTGTTCAATCTC